TGGATGAACACAGCAGGCCAAGCAGCATCAGAGGAGCGGGGAAGCTGTCGTTCAGGGCCTAGACACTTCTTTAGAAAAGTCTAGGCCCGAAACGTCAGCTTTCCTGCTCCTCTGATGCTGCTTGGCCTGCTGTGTTCATCCAGCTGTACACCTTGTTATCTCTTACTTTTGAAAAGTGTTGAGAACAACATTAAGGTTTCCACAGTCAAGGTAAGGTGGTTATACTATAAGGGTAAAGACAATTTTGTTTTCTAATTTAAAATAATACCAAAATGTTCAAATGAGGCCGAAGTGTCAAAACTGTATTACATTTACAGAATATGATTAAAATTTTCAGAACAAAGCATTTCTTACCCTTATTGTGGAGTCATCAGAACTGGAAATGAGCATCATACCATCAGACGTAAACTGACAATGTTGGACACATGCCGTGTGACCTGTTAATGTCTTTTGAATTTTGCCACTAGGAAGCTCCAGAACCTTAGAAGAAAAGAATAATCAATTATCACAACAGAAGAGAGTGTGAGGAGCAGACAGAAATGGAACGAACGCGCTAAGTAGTTGTTAACAATGAAGTTTTGCAGCAGAGTGTTAGTTAAATGATGCATGGTAAAAGCTATGTTTATCCAAATCAAAAATTAATTCATAAGTAAACTTTGCTTGCTACAATTAAGAAAGGCTAAGTGTTGCTGAGAGCCTGACTGCTTTCTATTTTAATTTTCCAATTATCTGCTCTGACTGTTTTTACCAAAGCAACTGTAAAAGTGCTCTTTAAATACAAATTTTTTAAAAATTGAAAAAAAGTACGTTTTTCATAGTTACTAGCTTTTACTTGGAAGGTCGCAATTTACATTTCAATCTACAGTTTCCAGCTGATACCACTTTAGAACAAATTTTCAATTTTTAAATGCCAACACAGTGACTTACTCACAAATACAGGTAGTTCTGCTATAACGTGTGTTGCGTTAACGTGAATTGGTTGTAACGTGATTGATGAATAGTGGATGCTGTTTGGATAACAAAAACATTCTGCTGTACAGGTACTGCGATTTTCTATAGCAATTTCCCTACAATGCAATTTGCTATGGCGATTTTCTATAATGCGAGGTCATACAAGAACACAAATATCACGTTATTGGAGAACTTATCTGTATTGCAGCCAATGTAACTATATTAGGAACAATTTTACCAACTGTTCCCTTGCCAGTGTCAACAATACCTTGCCATCTCCTGTGGCCACAATATCACTGAGATTGCTATCACTAATTCCAGGCAAACTCCCCTTACCTGAACTGAAAACAAAAATGCTGGAAATCACAGTGGGTCAGGCAGCTGAGGAAGGCTGCCCTGATGAAGATTTCATCTCGACTTGAAACATTAGCTTGCTCTCTCTCCAATGATTCTGCCTGATCCGCTGTGATTTCCAGCATTAGTTAGTTTCAGCACAGATTCCAGCATGTGCAGTAATTTGCTCCTAAACTCCCCTTTCCTTTGACTTCCACACCTTGCTTGGTAACAACTCCTGTCACAAACTTCAGTTAATCTCTTCCTTGACTGGTTGGACGATCTGCAAAAATTCTTGCATTTTAGTCAGCACCACATTAACCTGGCTCCATGAACTCAATGTCCAAAACAAAAAGTCAACATTCAAAACCCTCGTCTATTGCCATTTGAGGAGTCTTCTTTATTCGGCTTGTTACAGCCCAAATCCTCAATTCTTGTAGTTCTAAACTGCTGTTCATTGCCCGAATCCCTTCATCCTTCATTTGGACATTATTTCTTAAACAGGTAAAATTTAAACATGTTACTATTATAATATCAGAACGGTTTCAAAATATATCGCAAAAAAAGACATTATGATATTACAGATAAATTAGTTGGAAATTGAAAACTGGTTTACGGGAATAATTCCTTTCCACACATTGGCAGGCAGGGATGATTCAATAAAACCCCCACCATACCCAACCAAACTGTGGCTCATTTCATTGGACTCGTTTCAAACATTGCTTTGAGTCCATCACCCCACCATTTCCTACTTGAAGTCCACATTATTTAGAATCATCAAAACCCTCATGATTCCATGGCAGACAGTGGGATATGAATTCAAAGGAAATATGGAATTAAAAGACCAGTGACGCCTATGAAACCATTAATGATTGTTGTAAAAACCCATCTGGTTTACTAATATCCTTCAGGGAATGAAAGCTGCCACCCTTATCTAGTCTGACCTACATGTGACTCCAGACCCTTAGCAACGTTATTGACTCTGAAAATGCCCTCAGTAATGTATACAAAATGTCCCAGCCAACACCATCATCGTCGCTGGGTATGTCTTGTTGCACCGGCAGGACAGACCCAGCAGTGGCACAGTACTATACAGTCAGGAGGGAGTTGGCCTGGCGGTTCTCCACATCCACTCTCAACATCCCCAAGAAGTCTCATGGCATCAGGTCAAACATGGCAAGGGAACCTGCTGTTGATTACACCCCAAGCCCAGCTTTCTACTCAGGTGAGGACTCTGTACTCTTCCGTGTTGAAGATGACTTGGAGGAAACGCTGAGGGTGGCCAGGGCACAGAATGCACAGGGTAGGGGATTTCATTGTCCACCACCAAGAACTCCTCAGTATCACGCCTACTGATTGAGCTGGTCAAGTCCTAATGGATATTGCTGCAAGACTGGTTTGTGGTGGGTGAGAGAACCAACAAAGGGGAGAAACATACTTGACCGCATCCTCATTAATTTGTCTGTTGCACACCTATGTTCATGGCAGTATCAGTAAGCGTGATCACCACAAAGTCCTTGTGGAGACAATGTCGCGTCTTCACATTGAAAATACTTTCACCGTGGTACTATCACCGTGTTAAATGGGATAACTTCAAACAGATCTAAACTGAGCTTCCATGAAGTACTGTGGGCCATCAGCAGCAGCAGAACTGCACTCTAACACAACCTGTAACCTCATGGCTCAGTATATTCCTTAGTCTATCATTACCATCAAGCCAGGGGAACAATACTGATTTAACGAAGAATGCAGGAGGGCTTGCCAGGATCAGAAACAGACATTCCTAAAAAAATGAGATGTCACCCTGGTGAAGCTAACAAAACAGGACTACTTGCTGCCAAACAACATAAGGATCAAGTGATAGTTAGAGGTACATCAAACGGATCAGATCTAAGCTCCGCAGTCCTGTCACATCCAGTTACGATTGGTGACGGACAATTAAAAAACTCACTGGAGGAGATGGCTCCACAAATATTCCTATCCTTAATAATGGGGGAGCCCAACATATCAGTGCAAAAGATAAGCTTGGAGCATTTGCAACAATCTTCAGTCAGAAGTAGATGATCCATCTCGGACTCCTCTAGAGGCACCCAGTATCACAAATGCCAGTTTTCAGCCTATTTGATTCACTCCACATGATATCAAGAAACAGTTTGAGGCATTGGATACTGCAAAAACTATGGGCCTTGACAGCACTGCAACAGCGGTACCAAAGTCTTGTGCTCCAGAACTTGCTGCACCCCTAGCCAAGCTGTTCCAGTACAGCCACAACACTGGCATTGACAATGTGAAAACTGCCCAGGTATATTCCTTACAATAAGCAGGATAAATCCAACCTAATCAATTACTGCCCTAATAGTTCCTTACAATTTAACCCTTGGAGCCCAAATATTATTCTGAAAAAGCTACAGTGCACTCCACCAAAGCCAATATTGTCATCTTAATTTATGAAACTCAGAATACACTACTACAGTGGAGCTCTAACCAGAGCTTGGTTTAGTTGAAGCATGACTTCTAATCTCTTTTATTCAATGTAAAGCTTGGTGCCTGTTGTTGTTAAAGATGTGCACATATCAAAGTAATGAAAGAATGAGAAAACTGATTGTAGCCCTGCTTACTGCTAGAACAAAATGTTAGAGAATTGAAATGAATCATGTTGAGAAACTGTTAACGAGTAACATTTTTTACAGTTACATGCAGTTAAAGACAAGTAAAATTTGACAAGATATCTTCGTATTAGTGTCATAGAATTATCTGAAAAGATACAGAAAAAAGATACTGACCATTGAAGATGAGACCAAACATGACATGTCCTGTCAGTCTATAAATTCATCTTTATGCAATGCAAAGTAATCAATATCTGACTTCATAATTTGCAAAGTTATGTTAAATATTTTCAGGTAGTTTGGCCGGAAGTAAAATAAAATCTTTATGTTGAAGGGTATATTTACAAAGCAACAAACACATTTTTAGAAAATGGGGCATTCTCGGACTGTATTTAATTAGAAGGAAAATTGGATCTCATCAAACCACATTAAGCCATAAAGTGCACTTTATGTCTGTTTGCCTGATGTTTCTGTTAGCACAAATTTCCATTGTAAACAAATGAGTAACAAAATAAATTGATTTCCTTGCCAATAAACACTAATTCCAGTTACAATACAAATAGTTATGCTCATGTTATGGCTAGTTTTCTAATTCTGAAAGGTCAAATTTTGCATTGTTAATGTAAGATTTATTCTCCATGCCTTTAATCACTAGAAACAAGACCTAAATACTACTTTTGCTCATATCAGTTTTCATTATGCTATTTACCACTAATTTCTTGGAGAAAATCTTTTATGCATGATCACATGTTCTGGCAACTGAAGCCAAGAACAAATGACAGATGCTTTCATATACTCGTGTTGAATCTTACTACATTACATAAGATCAACACAAAAATCAACATTTTTCCCCAATAACAGAGATCCATGAATTCAAAAAGAACTTCCTTCAAAGAGAAACACTTGGCACTGATTTGTAGCTCCCAGCACTCCAAAGAGAAACAATGCATGCTGTAAAACAGTATTCATAACTGTATGCTTCCACTTCAAATACATGAAAGCACCCAAATTCTATATCAGCATTTCAGAAGCATGTGGGTGGGAATTATTATATCAAATTTAGCAATTTGTTATTAATTATTTGTTTAAAAAATATCCTTCCTTATTCTCATTAGGAGTAAACCGAGTAAACAGTATCAATTCTACAGAGCAGCTTCACTTAGATGTAAGAATTTAGAATAATATTTGTTTATCCCAAACAACTGAGGTGTCATTCTCAGCAACACTCAAACTCAGTATGAAAGGGGGAGCTTTAGGCTAGGTGTAATACATGCTTAAATTAGTCCTGCACCTTCAGTGTGCCATTTTCTAGCCCTACTGCTACCAACAGGCTCCGCTGGAAGCGCTGGCTCTTCCACCCAATGCTCTGTAGGATGAACTTGGCCGACTTCATGCCTCCCTACAATTACAACATACAAGAAAAAGTAAAGCCATTAACATAAAATTCAACATTAAGCATTAATGTGTACACAAACATACACACACAGCTTAGCTATTGGACATTTTTGCATTCAGAACTTTACTCAATTTCAGTGCCATTTAATCAGACTAGTTCTACTGTAGAAATTAATTTTGAAAAGCCAAAACAAAGCATTTTTGGTACTGGTTTATTTCTCCGTGTTTCTGATGCCTGTCTGCTTGCTGAGATGCTTCTGATCTTTGTAGCAAGTTGCATATCCTGAACATACTCCAACCTATACACAGTCACCATTTCCCCATCAATACGAAAATTTAATAACTGAATTAAAAAGAGTCATCATGCTTGGTTTAATAAAATTTTAATCAATGAAGAGTTTAAAAATGTTTTTTCTTAACAACTCAACAGTTCAGAACTGTTCATGATAATATGTTATTAATTTGAAACAATGACGATGAAAACAAGATCATGCAATACTGGAAATATTGTACTATTTAAAGTAGTAGCTTCATTTTCAATGAGCTCTATAAATGTAGCGTTACAGCTTCAAATAGATTTTGAAGCCATGAACCCACGAACCCACTTCAGACACACATGCTGACACTCCTCAGGACATAATGGAGACCTCATGGTGTTGGGGCTTCCCAATAGAGAGAACTGCAACTTCAATGAGGGAAAATGCCCCAAATGCAAGTTACAATGAGTTCACAAAAAAAGCTGCATTTTGACTTGATTTGTTATTGTCACATGTACCTAGGTACAGTGAAAAGTTTTGACTTTCATGCAGTACAGACAGGTCATACCATACAAAGTACATAAGAGTAATAGAACAGGGCACAGAATACTAAGTTAGAACTGCAGGGAAGGTGCACAAGGAACAAGGTCAACATTAAATTTGAAGTTTGACAGGTCCATTCAGATCACAACTTACAAAGGATTTAGTTTCTAATGATTGCATTCTGCACATTATCTAGTCAAAATATACATTCTTTTTACGTTGAGGAACTTGCTAACAGAATAAAAAGGTTTGTAGCAAGCCTAGAAGTAACAAACTTAGGAGAGAAACAACTTGTGACTGGGGCAGCATTCAACGGGGTAAGTACTGGCAGTAAGGGAGTTGTTGGGAGAGAAGGCCAGGGTCTCGGAGACAAGGCCAGAGCAGGTGGCTGAAGACAGGGACAAATCGTCAATTTGCTGATGCTGAGGGGAGGCTGGTGGTTGGGAGCAGCCTTTTTGTTGAAGCAGCAACCTGCTTGTCAGGTCCAGGGTGGGGGGGCAGGAGCGCAGCAAGGGGCTGAGGGGAGGGAATGCAGGCTGAAAGGGGACTGGGACAGATAGGGAATCCACAATGGTGTGCGACTGAGAGGGTGAGGGAGACGGTAAGGACAGGACAGGGAGAGGGAGGCTGCAAAGAGAAAACAGTTTCAAACCTGTTAAAAAGGGATACTCAGCAATCATGGAGCAAGGAAGGCTTGAAATCATTCAAATAATGAATGTGCTATCTCTAGTTTAAAGTTGTATACGTTCATTATATATAGGAGGAAAAATGGAGTTGATGCCATTGTAATGAACACTTTAATTATTAAACTGAAATCTGAGATCGAGGTCTGAAAATAGTTAAAAAGGGTAGTGACTGCCTAGTTAAAATATCCCAGCTTTGTGCATACGTGAGCTCACCAACATGTAGAGGGTATGTTTGGCGTGATGACTGTTTGTGTGCAGAACTGTGTGTCAGTTATTTCGGAAAAAAAAACCCGTGTTTCTAACTTATGTATGTAGCCTTGGGTCAATTTAAATATTGTGGTGACTAGGAAATTAATGCTTTCCTGTGTCTTCTGGCTTTAGGTTCAATAGAGGGTTGATAACTATGAAGGGTACTGACAATTTTTTCTAGTTCTGCAAGACTGAATACCTTATGCATCAACACAAACACATACAGTAATGATACTAGGGACTGCATCACCTAATAAAGAACAAAGAACAGTACAGCAAAGGAGCAGGTTCTTCGGCCCACCGAGCCTGCACAGATGCATGATGCCTTTCTAAACTTAAAATGTTTTGACTCCTCACAGTCTGTATCCTCTATTCCCTGTCTATTCATGTATCTATCAAGATGCCTCTTAAACATTGCTATTACATCTGCTTCTACTACCTCCTCTGGCAGTGCATTCCAGGCCCTCTGAATAAAAAGCCTGCCCCTCAAACCTCGTTTAAATTTACCCCCTTTTACCTTAAACCTATGTCCCCTAATATTGACATTTATACCCTGCAAAAAGTACTCTGACTATCCATTCTGAACACGTTTCTCATTATTTTGTAAACCTCTATCAGGTTGTCCCTCAGCCTCTGACCTTCAAGAGCAAACAAATCGAGTTTGCCCAGTTTCTCCTCATAGATAATACCCTCCAAACCAGGCAACACCCTAGTAAATCTTTTCTGTACCCTCTCCAAGCCTCCACATTCTTCCAGTAGTGTAGCAACGAGAATTGCATGCAATATTTCAAATGTGGCCTTACTAAAGTTCTGTACAGCTGCAACATGACTTGTTAATTTTTAAAATCTACGCCCCGACCAAAGAAGGCAAGCATGCCATATGCCTTCTTGACCACCTTATCCACTTGTGTTGCCACTTTCAGGAAACTGTGAACCTGCACACCTAGATCCCTCTATGTTCATGCTTCTAAGAGTTCTGTCATTTACTGTATACTTCCCACCCGCTTCAGCTCTTCCAAAATATGTCATCTCACATTTGTCCGGATTCAATTCCATCTGCCATTTCTCTGCCTAAGTGTCCAGCCTATCTATATCCTGCTGTATCCTCTGGCAATCCTCCGCACTCTCTGTCGCTCCCCCAACCTTTGTGTTGTCCCCAAACTTACTGATCAGACCACTTACATTCTCCTCCACATCATTTATCTGTATTACAAAGAAAAGGAATTCCAGCACTGATCCTTGCTGGATCCACCACTGGTCACAGACCTCCAGTCAGAAAAACACCCTTCCATCATACTCTTGATCTTCTATGACCAAACCAGTTCTGTATCCATCTTACCAGCTCACAACAGATCCCATGTGACTTCACCTTTTGTATCAGTCTGCCATGAGGGTCCTTGTCAAAAGACCTTGCTAAAATCCATTGAGACAACCTCCACCGCAGTGCCCTCAGTAATTACCTTTGTCACTTCCTCCAAAAAAACTCAACCAAGTTTGTGCAACATGATTTCTCCCACGCAAAGTCATGCCGCCTGTCGCTAACAAGTCCATATTTTTCCAAATGTGAATAGATCCTGTCTCTAAGAATCTTCTCCAATAACTTCCATACTACTGATGTAAAGCTCACTGGCCTGTAATTACCTGGATTATTCCTGCTGTCCTTCTTAAACAAAGGAATAACATTGGCTATTCTACATTCCTCTGGGATTTGGTCTGTGTCTAAATAAGATACAAAGATTTTATTCAAGACCCCAGCAATTTCCTTCCTCACCTCTTAGTATTCTGGGATAGATCCCATCAGGTCCTGTGGACTTGTTTATGTCAATGCTTTTCAAAACACCCAACCTCCTCTTTTTTTAAAATCAACATGCACCACAATATCAACATACCCCTCTCAAGATTCACTATCCCCTATGTCCTTCTCCTTTGAGGATACCAAAGCAAAATATTTGTTAAGGACCTCACCCACATTCTCCAGCTCCAATCACAAATGTACGCCTTTGTCCTCGAGAGGGCTTATCCTTTCCTTGGCCACCTTCTTGCTTCTTCTTTACGTATGAAAAGCCTTGGGATTTTCCTTAATCCTGTTTGCCAAGGGCATTTCGTGGACCCTTTTATCCCTCCTAACTCCTTGTTTAGGTTTTTTCCTGCTTTCTTTATATACCTCAAGGGCTCAGTCTTCAGTTTCCTAAGCCATACGTATGCTTCCTTTTACTGTATGACTTAGCTCACAATTTCTCTGGTCATCCAAGGTTCCTGAATCTTGCCATCCATAACCTTCACTTTCACAGGAACATGTTGGTCCTGAGCTCTAATTAATTGGCCTTTAAAAGATTTCCACATGGCAAATGCGGATTTACCCTCAAACAGCCAAGCTCAAAGGAATCACTGAGAATGAATTAAATTGTGCCTCTGATTCATCTAAAGGATAACTTCCTTCCCTTTGTAACCTAGCTCCTTTGAGTAAAAGGCCAACATTCTACTGAGCATTTTAATTGATTTTTGTACCTGCTTACTCATTCTAAATGAATTAAAATCACCAAGACTGCTTTCACTTCCAGAACATACCCCACCTCCTCATCCTGCCTCTACTCATCTGTGCTGAAAACTTCATCCACACTTTTGTCATCTTTAGATTTAACTCCTCCAGTGCCCTCCTGACCAGCCTCCCACCCTTTGCAAACTCAAAAAGAAGTAGGTCCTTCGATCCATTGCGCCCACTCAGCATTGTAATCATGGATGATCCTCTATCTGAATGCCAGATTTCCATACTCTCCCCATTAGCTTTGACACCTTTAGCCTCTACAAATCTTTTTCTTTCTTAAATATTTTCAGTGACTTAGCCTCGACTGCCTTTTGTAGCAGAGCATTCTGCAGATTCACCAGCCTGAGTGAAGCAATTCCTACTCAGCTCAGTCTGAAATAGCCTACGCGGCATCCAGAGACTGCAACTCCTTGTTCTGGTTCCCTGCCGGGGGAAATGTTGTCCCTGAAACCAGTCTGTTCAATCTTATCAGAATTTTACATGTTTCAACAAGTTCCCCGCTCATCTTTCTAAACTCCAGCAAATACAAGTTCAGTCAACCCAATCTGGCAACACATTTATTTTAGAACCCCTCCATGGCCTCATCCAGCAGCAACCTGTAACCTGTTCAAGTGTACAACTCTCAAAGAGGGCTGCACAGCTCCAATTTTGGTCTTGTCTATACTCTTGCCTTTCACTGATCCACTACAAGTGGCCATGTTTCAGTTGCCTAGGACTCATATAATTCCCTTCTTGAACCTCTCTATTCTTCTTCAAGATGCTTCTTAAAATCTCATCTACCTTAATATCTTTACGTGCCTCAGTGTTGACTTTTGTTTGGTAACACAACTGTGAAGTGCCCTTGCCACATGTAAGATCTAACAAATGGACTCCTCAGCTCTTCGCTTTTCTGCAATTTATAGTTTCCCACCAATTAGAAAACACTCCAATTTATCCTTCTCCGGCCCAAACTGGATTACTTCACATTTATTAAAATTCCATTTGCCGTTTTTTTTCACTTAAGTCTGTGCTTTGAACTGGGCTTACTCCAAACTGTTAATATCCTCTGCAATCTTGGATATTCAACTCAATATCCCTTCAGCATAATTGGTAATAAAAGGATGCAGACCCAGAACAGATCACTGGGAACAATTCTTGCCACATTCAGCTAAACTAAATGTGGATTTGTTATCCCCATGCTTGGTCTCCTACTTGCCAACCAATTTCCAACTCAAGACAAAAGACAATCTACAGTTTCATACATTGCCAATAATTTTATGTGGAATCATGTTGGACACCTTACAGTTCATACATATAGTATCCATAAGTATTCATTTTCCAACTGATTAGTAGCCTCAAAAAATTCCATTGGTCAGGGATGACTTACTTTTAACAAAGCTACATTGGCTCTATTTGCTTAGTGCAAAAGCTCAAGCACTCAACCCTGAATGAAAATTCTTGTGGTTTCCCCTGCAACTCTAAAACTAAAGCAGTGTGTCGTTTCAATACATCCCCAATTATAGTTAAGTAGAAATGATTATCGTCAAAGCTACGTCACTTTATATGATACACAAGCTGCATAATTATGAATGATTACCAGACAGGGCTGACAGAGTTAAAAAGAGCACATGACCAACAATGCATCTATGTGATGTTAAATTTAGCTTAGACTGCAAGGTATAATATGACCAAAAATTAAATTTGACATGAAGGATTTAGATTAAAGATAACTACTGTTAGACACACAACAAATCCTGAAGTAAGTGTAAGTGAAAGGAATCAATTCACAAGACACAGAGGCAGCCTAAATTTGGTATAATTTTAAAAAGTGCATATCAAGTCTTACTAAATATATCCTTAGTTGGTAAGAATTTTTCTTAAAGTGAATAAATGAGCTAGGTCAAAATTTCTGTGGAAACTCAGAGTGGAATTTTACAGAAGTAATTCTGATAGATGTTAAAAAAAATGCTTCAGGGAGAAATAAGACAATAATATCCTGAAGGATTTGCATCAATTTTAAACAAAGCTAAATTGAATCAGCCATACAAACAAGAGCTAACAAAATATCAGGTCACCAAGCAAGCTATATGATTCTTATTCTAATTACATGAGACAGCTATGGACTCCTTGGCACTAAACAAGAACAAACACAGTGGACACACAGAATTTGGATATGGGCTTACACACCTGCTTCTTTGATTCAGAGCACATCATGGAGGGAGAGGGACGGTAGGTCAATACATTTCCCATTAGAGAAGGACAAGTCAACCAGGGCTAGCTTTTAACACAACCAAGCAGCTGGCAAAACTACAGGAGCAGATTGTCTGCCTCCCCTGTTGACTGGGAAAAGCGTGTAGAAGAAGACACAGAGGATGTAAGAGGTGCATCAAGAAAACAAAGTAAATGTAAAATACCAAAATGTGCAGCAGTAATCTTAGCAAGAGGATTAATACACTACCACAAAGTGAAGTTAAAGTTTCTTTGGCATATTACATGCTTGTAACAATTTTGTCAAGTGAATTAACAGCATGTTCCTGCAGACAGAAATCTGGAATAGAGGTTAAAAGCCTTGTGGAGCTACGAACCCACCTTGAGTGGATACTCAACTTACGCAGGTTCCTATCGTGATGTTGAATGTCACCGAAGCCATACATTCACTCAATCTTAATAGCTTCATGCGGGACCATCAAGGTCAGCCAATTATTATTCGTAAACAAGAAAATAGACGTAATTGCTCATGCAATATTATAAAAACAGAAATCATATTTTCCAACAGACATGGAAAAGCCTTCAAAATCAAATTCAACATTAGTACCTTTAAGATTCCATCTCCACATCCAATTGCAGCCAAATTAACCTGATGGTTAAGGCAGCAACAACGAATACACGAGTTCTGTACCTCACTCTGACACATTACATCACCAGTTTTCCCGTTTATTAGCTGTTGCAAATACACAAAAAAAAACATGAATATCGAAAACAGTTTTCCCTCTGTAAAAGCAAAATGAAGACGACAAACAATCCCTACAAGAGGCAGACTCTAGTGGGGTTGTAATAGAGCCTGTTCCTAGCCAGACTTCAGCAATGTGAAACAGATTCCATAAACAGGTGTTACTGGTCCTATTAAAGTCTCACCAATTAAACCACCGAAGTAAAAGATGATGACACAGAACACTTTCTTTTGTGAGAAGGAAACAGCAGATGGTGGTTGTGAAATAACATGGCTGGAAAGGAAAGAAAATGATGAATGATGAACTTGCCAATCATTATGGTAGAAAAATAGGATGTAGTGCATCATATCCTGTGTTCAGTTTATTTACCATACAATTTCACCTTGTAACAGGTTCAAGGAATTCAAAAATTGATTCATATTAAAGTGTGTATATCATGTCCAATTCTGTCACCAAATGCCCAACTGTAATGCAAAGTTTCTCTTCTGTTAGCTCCAATTTTATGATAAATATATTTGAAGTATGTTCTAAGGAGTGATACTGTGAAGCTTAAGAATGGACTCAGTTTGTTCAGCAGAGTGTGCTGGTAGAGAGAGTCTTCATCATTGGGAAAAGCTGGATTTTCCTTCTTTTTGGGCCAGGATTCCAGCCTATTTTGAGATGATTTGTGTTTTCAGACTTCCTCTACTTTGTGCTTTCAATTTCTTTGCCCGTTCCTTGGCTTGACTCTTACAGCTGTGGTTTTTCAAAAGTTCTTTGCTTTCATCATCTATTTTTTTTTTACCACTTCTGTTCTTTATGTCAAGATCATCTACTGGTGTTCTTTAAAGCAGATCACAGGCAATTCCTTGGTCTTTCCTTTTGTGTTTTTGTGTTCTGTCCTCCCTTTGCTCTAAATCTTCTAAAATGCTTGTTCATCTTTTGCTTTTCCAATTTTAGTGAACAGTCTATATTTCCCATCACTTTCTGTTTTTATATTTTCATCTATACTTTTGTAAATGCATTATATATCAGCACCAGGAGCAAATCAACAAGTGCTATGATCTTCAAATAAACCCTTCTAATTGTCACCTCAACTTTCATAGCATTGTTTTTGGTACATACTTATTTTCCCAATATGAATCTTCAGCGCTTAAAACAGGGATAGTTCTGTATCATAAGCAGCAGAGAACAAAGCATCTGAAAGTACACTTAGCGGATAGCTACTATTTCCTCTTAATTTCCAGATTTAAGTAGCCCTCCCTTCCATTCTGAAGCACCAAATGCCGAGCTTAGTGGAAAATATGAAGTAGGCAATATGTTTTGATGCACTTAATATTTTGGTTCAAAAGTTGTTCAGTTAATGACAGTAAAACCGTCAGCATTCATATTCATTATTCCTCAAATCGACAACTACTTATGGAGTTTGTACATTATTAATTAAACATGGAAATTTAGAAGCTGTTGTCAGTGATTTAACACTTTTCTGTAGTATCCATTACGTTGGACCCCACAAACTACAACGATGAGAAATAACTGGAATGATTTGGTCTTTCCCTCTAAGCTGTATTTTTGAAAAAAGTCATTTGTCAGATGTAGATTTCAGTACCTAGACCAGCAATTACCGCCCATCACTAACTGCATTCTAGAAGATGGTGGCCAGCTGCCTTATTGAACTGCCCAGGCAATGGTGTGGTGTAGCTACACTCACAAAGCTGCAAGGGAGGGAATTCCATGATGTTGACTGTAACGGTGGCTGCAAAATAAGATAAGGACCCATGGTATTAGGAGCAAGGCACTGGCATGGATAAAAGATTGGCTGACTGGCAGAAAGCAGAGAGTGGGGATAAAGGGATCTTTTTCAGGATGACAACCGGTGACTAGTGGAGTTCCACAGGGATCAGTGATGGGACAACTATTCATGTTATACTTTAACAATCTGGATGAAGGAACTGAGGACATTGTTGCTAAGTCTGCAGATGACACAAAGGTAGACTGAGGGACACTAGTGTTGAGGAATTGGGGAAGCTGTTAGAAGGACTTGGACAGGCTAGGAGAGTGGGCAAAGAAGTGGCAGATGGAATGTAATGAGTGTGATGTTATGCACTTTGGACAAAAGAATAGAGGCCTAGAATATTTTCTAAATGGGGAAAGGCTTAGCAAACCTGAAGAATAAAGGGTCTTAGGAGTCCTAGTTCAGGATTCTCTTAAAGCTAATGTGCAGGTTCATTGGCAGTTAGGAAGGTAAATGCATTTTTAGTTTTCTAACCTTCCTGAAATGAATGCAAGAGCAGAGATGTATTGCTGAAGTTGTATAAAGCTCTGGTCAGACCATATTTAGAATATTGTGAATAGTTTTGGGTCCAATATCTAAGGAAGAATGTGCTGGCCTTTGCCAGGGGTGGAGGGGTGGGGGTTGCAGAGGAAGTTAATGATCCCTGTGATGAAGGGCTTGCCATATGAGGCGCAGTTGAACACGCTTGGTCTGTACTCAATGGAGTTTAGAAAAATGAGATGGGAGATCTGATTGAAATTTACAGAGTACTGACAGGCCTGGATAGAGGGGACTTGGAAAAGATATTTTGACTAGTAGGAAAGACTAGAACCCAAGGGCACAGCCTCATTGAAGGGACAATCCTTTAGAAGTGAGATAAGGAGGGATTTCTTCAGTCAGAAGGTGGTGAATCTGTGAAACTCATGGCCCCCACTACCTTCTGTGGCAAAGTCTTTGAGTGTATTTAAGCCAGAAATAGATAGATTCTTGATTAATAAGGGGATCAAGGATTACAGGGAGAAGGCAAGAGAATGGGGGTGACAAACGTATCAGCCGTGATTGAATGGCACAGAAGACCTGTTGGGCTGAATGGCCTAATTTTACTCATATATCTTATGGCCTTATGGACCTAGTAACAGTGGTGGAATAGCAATATAGTTCCAAGCCAGAATAGTGTGTGGTTGGAGAAGATCATGCAGGTGATGGTGTGGTGAAGCATTAATTATCTATGTGTTAGAGATTGCAGGTTGGAAGGTGCTGGTAAAGGAGCTTGGCGAGTTACTGCAGTTCATCAGATAGTACACACTGCTGCCACTGTGTGCTGGTGGTGGAGTGAGTGAATGCTTAAATAGTGGATGGGGTACCAATTAAGAGGTAGCTTTGTCCTGTATCATGTCAAGCTTGTTGAATGCATTTGGAGTTGCACGCATGCAGGCAAATGGAGAGTATTCTGTCAAACTGTCTGGTTTCTGCCTTGTAGACAATATACAGGCATTGGTGAGACAGAAGATAAGTCACTCTTTGTAGAATTCCTAGCCTCTCACCTCCTCTTGTAGCCACAGGATTCACATGGCTGATTGAGTTAAGTTTATGGCCAATGATAACTCTAAAATGCTGATAGTGTAGATCTCACTGATGATAATACCAATGAGTACAAAGGGATGATCAGACTCCTTTTATTGGAAATGGTCAATACCTGGCACTTGTGTGGCATGAAGTGCTAATTGTCTGTCACTTGTCATCTCAAGTGGACGTTGTCCAGGTTTTGCTGCATGTGGACAAGGACTGCTTCAGTGTCTGAGAAGTTGCAAATGGTACTGATCATGCAGTGAACATCCTCACTTCTGAAATTCTGATAGGGGAAAGGTCATCGACGATGCAGCCGAAAGGGGTTGGGCCTAGGACAGCACCACAAGGAATTCTGCACCGACAGACACGGACTGAGATGATTGGTCTCCAACAATCACAACCATCTTTCATTGTGATAGGATTGACTCCAACCAGTAGAGAGTTTTCCCTGATACTTGCAGATGTTGACTTTGCCAATGGTTCTTTATTCTGCTTGAGGCCAAATGCTTTCTTGATGTCAAGGGAGTCATCCTCACCACACGAGTTCAGTTCTTTTGTCCATGTGCGGGTCAAGGCTCTAATGTTGTAAAGAGCCATATTGCCCTTGCAGAACACCGACTAGTGTCAGTGAGCAGGATATTTTTTGTATAAATGCTGCTGTCAACACTGACTTTATTGTTCATCAAAAGTAGTCTGAGAAGGCGGAAATTAATTTGAATGAATTTGCCCTGCTTATCATGGATAGGGTACACCTAGGCAATTTTCCACATTGCCAGATAAATGCCCGTGTTGTAGTTGTACTGGAACAGCTTGACTGAATGCATGAGTAGTACTGGAGCACCAGTCTTCAGTACCATTGCAATGATATTATCAGGGTAAACTGAAATGGCTTAAGATTGGCTTTGGTTGGTACTGGAGACCTCAGGAGGAGGATGAACTCAGCACTTTGAACTGAAGGAGCTTGCAAATGTTTCACCTCTGCCTGTTATGCTGATGTGCTTGGCTCATTGTCAATAAGGATGTGGATATTTAGGAAGCCACCCCCTCCAGTCTGCTGTTGTATTGATGACGATGAAACAATTGTTGCTCTGAAATCAATAGCAAACTCAGGAGTTCAACCCTGCAGGGAAAATGTGGAAATCTGGATGTTGTTGTCAGTAAGTTTAGGCTCCACCAACAGAATGTGGAGTGGCAATTCTCACAAAGTAAAATATCTTTGCGTTCATGAGTTGGAGAAATCTTCTACTCTGGAGTTCCACTGTAAAAACCGTTGAAAAAGTTATGCATCACCAAAAAAGGTGCAATTGAGTCATTAACAGCAGACTACATTCATAATTAGTAACAATCAATCTCCCTGGCCTGAAAATTAATGTTATATCGGTGGAATATTAATTCCATAGATTTTTTTTAAACAAATCTGTTTATCTTTAACTTACCTTCTGTCTTAATTCAGTCATACATTAATTTTGCTATCAGAAAATATAAAAGTGAAGGATATTAAATGATACGGTCCTCCTGGTCTGCTGTGCATGAACACTGTAATTTGATTAGTTTCCTGTTTGCTGACAACAACGCTGTTGTAGCCAAAACATTTCCTAGACTAAACTGCCTCTGGGTAAGCTCTTCCTCTTAGACTGTGATATGTGTGGGCAGTTGTCTTTTTGAGTTCAGTGGTGAGTCACCTTTTTAAAAATTGCTAATATTTCAGCTTTACATGCGTATGTTACAATCATTTCTATCAATCTCTGGAAAATGTATAATTCCTGGTCTGCTGTCTATGGGAATACTTCAATGCAATTGGCGGCTTGATCGACCTGGTGACTTTATTGTTGCTTGTTGTCTGGAGATCCTTTTGACTTGGTTCCAAATTAACACTGGGAGATGGGAAACCAACACTATAGTGACTGCTAAATCACATGGGTAGCTTTGTTCTCAGGCCAGTGGCAAGCATCCTCACTTCTGCCTGACCTAGATATACAAGTGCTTCGTTCTGAAAAGAGGTGGTTAAATGAGAAATGGCAGGAGCTATTGGGTCTAGTAAAAAAGAAGGTTGCTTACCTGTAAACACTTTTTCTTATCAGAAACTAAAACAAAGACTTCATCCTCATGGAAGACTGCATCCATATCTCGAACCAAGGACACAGCAGAGGCACTATGCACTTTATTGGTATTCCATAGCTGTCAAAACAAAATTAAATAAAAGATATCAAAGCAAGGACCTTCTTATGTAGTTTACAGCTATAACCTCTTCTCCAAATACTAGAAAATTGCTAAAACAAAATGACATTAGGTTTCATGAAAAAGTGTCAAAGATATTAAAGTAACATTGCAAGGTTCAGCACTACCTTGTTGGCATATAATTTCGTTGAAATTCATTAAAAAGTCAGAAGGAAGGGAAAAAAACAACGCTGCAACTTTTGCGACTACACAAGAGATAATGTATTACCATGAAACAGATAGAAAGGTTTATGTTGTTAGGTGGAAATTACAAATGTGTAACAGTCTGAAAGTGATGCATGTGCATCAGTGTACAAGTGACAGAACATTATATGAAAACAAATCACGATCAGTCTTGCAGGTTAGTGAAGAGTCTACCATTAATCAGCAACCAGTGTCGAACTGAGCATGGAAAGGGACTGAAGATAGATATAGGTGTACAGCAACATACTTCATTAACTTAGAAAGATAAAAGGCAGTTTATATGCTCAAGTTTATTTTCTTACAAGGGATTCCTTTGACCACCTGCCAACTAGGTAAGGTTTGAAATGTTAATAGAACACAATAAATAATTCACAAACAACAATAACTTTTGTAGATAGGCACTTATATTTAGTCCAAACAGGACTAGCTTTTGTAACTAGTGATTCCTCAGACAAGTCTCAGGTTCCATTCAATATCTTTAGCCTTGAAGTAAATCTCAATGAGGTAGGGTTCCTCACAGCATAAAAGTATTTGAAAACAGCAGTATTTATTTTTGTTACAAAGCAATTGCACTGCATCCATTTCAAAGGGAAGGAGCACAATAATTTTAGAACTCGTCCAACAAGGTTGTTGTCATTATATTGCATCAGTGTGGTTAAAATGAGGAGAAATGACATTGAGCTCTTGCGCAACTGAATGAATAAAATTTATTCCCAACGCAGCAAAAGCTCTCCTCTAGCATGTTACTTGCAGCCATTGTATGGCTGCTTTCCAAAACTAAATCAATTTAAGTTCATACCAGCTTTTATTTTTCTATAACATTTGCAAGGTAAAATAAATTCCTTTCCATCTCACTGTTGTAATTATCCTTTTGAAACTGAGTACAGTTTTCAACCAATGTATTTGTAGCCAAGGAGGTGTTTAAATTTAGGATAAGAGTTTTAAATTTGAAGAAATGTGGGGCTATAAGCCTATGTCAGTTAGCAAGTCAGGGACAGTTGGCCAGTGAGGCATGACGCTGCACAGCATGGGGCACCAATTTCACATGAACTGAGGTTTGTGCAATGTGAGAGACTGAAGGCCTGCAGATTATTGGAATTAGTGGATACAAAGAGAGCAAAGCCATTCCGCCAATCCTACTGCCCTAGGAGCTGTATTGGTACGGATCTCCATGGGAATTCACTTAGGCAACTGTCCCAGAGGCAGGCTGGAAAGTCAAGGGCGTGATGGAGTACTCCCCACTTGCCTCACGGGCACAGCTCCAACAATACTCAAGGAGGTTGACATCATTCAGGACAAAGCAGCCTGCTTGATTGGACCACATCCTCAGCATCCACTCCCTCCAACACCTATGCTCAGTAACAGCAGTGTGTACTATCCACAAGGTGGACTACAGAAATTCATTAAAGATCCTTCAAAAGCACCTTCAAACCCACGGCCACTTCCTTCTAGAAGGACAAGGGTAGCAAATATATGGGAACACCATCACCTCCAAGTTCGCCGCCAAGCCACTTACCATCCTGACTTAGAAATACATCGCCGTTCCTTCACTATCACTGCGTCAAAATCCTGGAATTCCCTCCTTAAGGGCATTCCATATCTTTATTATTAGGGATAGGCAGGAAAGTGGAATTGAGGCCACAATTAAATTAGCCATGCTAATACAGAACCTCTGCAGAGGTTCAAGAAGGCAGCTCACCACCACCTTCTCCAGGGCAACTAGGGAAGGGCAATAAATGCGTGTCAGCCATCAATGCCCATGTTCCATGAGTGAATAAAAAAGTTCTATACGGCACTAGTGACAGGATATCTGGAGTGCCATTTACAGTTTTAGTCTCCTATGCAAGAATGAACACAATTGCATTGGAGACAGTTCATTCGACTGATTTGTGGGACGAGAGATTCATTGTCTTAAGAAAGGCTGGACAGGTTGTTTTTGTACATTGGAGTTTAGAAGAATGAGGGGTAATCTTACTGAAACATAGAAGATCCTGAAAGGACTTTACAGGGTGGATTCTGAAAAGATGTTACTCCTTGTAGGAGAGACTAAAACAAGAGAACACAACGTGTAGGTAAGATGCTACACATTTAAGATGGAGACGGAGGGTCTGTGGAACTCTCTTCTCCAGGGAGGCAGAGGAAGATAGATTTTTTTGGCTAACAAGTGAGTCAAAAGATATTAGGGGTAGGCAGGAAAGTGGAATTGAGGCCACAATTAAATTAGCCATGCTAATACAGAAAAACAGAGTACTCTCAAAGGGCCAAAATGCCTTAATTTGGATGTTTGACACCTATAAATTGTGAAATGTTAATTAATGAAACAGCCTACAGATAACTAAAAGTGTACCAGATAGATATCTGGCAAAGTGGTTGATAGATTGGAGACAGGGTAGCATTTGGCACTTCTAAAACTCTGGAACGATTTAAATGGATCACTTCCAGTACTGTACAACTAATGTTTGCATAAGAAGTAATACCACTCAAAGCAACTGTGCAAGCATACTTGCTTATCACAGCAACCATTCCTTTACTGAATTAAAGAAGAAAATGTTACATACTCTAACAGTTTGGTCATCTGAAGATGATAGCAAAGTTGAGCCATCCAATGAAAATTGAACACAATGAACCCAGCTCAAGTGGCCACTGCAGTCAGCTACTCTCTTGCGCAAATCCAAGTTCCATAGCTAGAGGAAATGGAACAGAAATACAGCTGAATGTTGTTTCATCATTTCCATGTCACAAACATATGAAACAGCAAATTATTGACTGTAATTTTGTGTTAACAGGGTGTGGGCTTTGACACACAGAATCATGGAATCTCTACAGTTGCAAAGCAGGCTATTCGGCCCATCGACTCCACACCAACTGTCCAAATAGCATCCCACCCAGACACACTCCCCTACCCTAAGCCTGTAACTCTGCATTTCTCATGGCTAATCCACTGAAACCATACATCCCAGGACACCATAGGCAATTTAGCATGGCCAACCCACTTGACCTACACACCTATGGAATGTGGGAAGAAACCGGAGGAAACTCACACAGACATGGGGAGAATGTGCAAACTCCCCATGGACAGTCGCGCAAGGGTGAAATCGAACCTGGGTCCCTGGTGCTGAGAGGCAGCAGTGCTAACCACTGAGCCACCGTATTGCCCTAAATTCTTCTCTCTTAATTAGTAGGAAGTGTTTCTGATCAAAAAGGTACACCTCAAAGTGCTGTTTTGCATATTTAGAGCTATAAATGTCATTCAATATGTTACAATTAATCTAAAAGCAATCTGTCAATTTAGTGTATTGCTGGGAACTGGAAGAAAAGCATTATGAGGGCATTAACACAAAAGTAAAACACAATGGAAGTTGGAAATCTGAAAAAAAAACAGAAAATGCAAGAAACACAGCAAGAATGCAAGAAACACAGCAAGAATGCAAGAAACACAGCAAGAATGCAAGCATTTGTGGAGAGGGAAACAGAATTGATGTTTCAAGTGTTATGATGAAAGGTCACCAAACTGAAGGGTGAACTGTTTCTCACTCCGTAAATACTGCCTGATCTGTTTGATTTTGTCAGAGTTTTCCGTTTGTACCCAAAAATCGAGGTCTTATTTTCAAATTCAGCAGGACTTCTGCACTTCCAGCTTTGTCAGCCTCTCCAAACTATTCCACATCTCCCTGTATATATCAAAGCTCATGAACTGGGAAACATAGTTAATATTACATACTTGGATTTAAGGACATCATTTTGACAGTTCTATTAATTAGTTGTTTGAATAAAGAGTCATGAAGTACAAGCTAACATAAAAGGTAAGTCAGGGAATTTAGGTTATAAGGAAATATTAAGGAAATTGAACATGTTCAAATATCAGGGGAAGTTGGTTTAAAAATAAAATGACTTGAGTTAGAAATACAAAGAAGGATTGGACAGAATATTTTAACTTAAAAGATAATAAGTGTGAAAGTTCCAAGGCAAAGCTGCTGACGCAGACAGTGTGAATACCTGATGTCTCCCTTTCTTCAGAAATTCTACAGACGATGTGCCCAGGGTACACAGAAGATGCAACGGGTGAGGACGATTCTTAGAAAAAGGAACCAGTGTGCTGAATGGCCTTTTCCTGTTTTTAGTTCAGAGATGATCATGTAATTTTGTCTCCCAAATAGGAACTGTTCAGTGTTCAGCCTTTGTCTAATGTGTCCCACTTCCCATGCTGCTGTCCTTTGACTATGGTCTAAACAGCATCTCTGATCTTATTATTGATGCTTAAGCTTTTAGCCTTATCCTACGGAACCCACTCTTTAAACCACTCCATTGCTCAACGTACATCTCTATCTTTAGAGATGTTCTTAAATCTCGGACCAATTTTCAGTTACCTCACTAAACTCTTCCCAAAGACTTAGCACACACATTCCCTATTTTTTAGGGGTAAGCTCCTTGGAGTGTTCCTTCACACCAAGACAATACTTAAAAGCAGGTTCCACAGAACAATTGGTTCCGCCCTCTTACCTCGACAGAGTTGTGTGACAAGGCCACTGCCAATAATGGGCTGGTAAGAGAAACATCACAAGACTGAATTGTGCAAGAGCTACTTGTCATTAGTTCAGTTACAATGTCACCGGTCAACACATCGAAAACCTGAAAGATAAAACAATGCTGTAGGAACAATATGTTGCAAAACAACAGATTTTCCAATGTTGTCAAAATGCATCAGGAATTAGAAACTGCAGAGACAGCAGTCACAAAAGTCTTGGCATCAAAATTATTTCAGCACATGTATACATGCAGCCAAAAAACTGGCATGACAAAGCAGCATATTTTCAAAAAATATTTTTAGGACTGGATCAAATCTCATTTGGCACCAATTTCTATTCAGACATACTAAATGTGTGCAGGAGGCTTGGTGAAGCAGCAGTACTTCTTGTGTGAGGCTTTAAATTCATGACCCATCATATGACATTACCAATCTCAGCTAGACATTCACAGCAAGCACATCTGCAAGTACTTTAAAAATAACACTTGTGGATGCTTGGGAGCAAGCTTTTTGTTAATTTTTGTTTTCACAGCAGATGAACCAATAAAGTAAGAAAGATAAATTACATTAAAAAAAAACACAAATACAAAAAGGATCAAGCATTTGTGCCATTCATTTCTGGGTTTGAAGTAATCATTAAAAGTTTGGCATTTTAGAATAATGTAAATTTAAATGATAAATGGGAGCTCCAAGTTCAAGACTGATCATTGATCACTGTAAAATTAAATGTGTAAGTTTACAAATTTATCAGAATGTTGCATGTTTCACAAACGGACAGAAGTAATAAATTGTGGTGCAATGTGGAATTCATAAACAAAAATTAACTATAATTAAAAAAAGAGTTGTGACTAAACAGAGTAATTATTGGCCTATATTTAGCTACACAAATTAATAAAGTTGGTTATTGCTACTAATCAATAAAAGGCTTCAACTTGTACACTTCCTATAGGAAATGACAACTAAAACAGGCAAAACTTATTCAAAGCACATTTTAGGAGTAATGGGTCAACCCAAAAACCGGGAATCACAATTTAATGGACAGAACAATGCAAATACTTCAGTCAGGTGCCAGAACAGGCAGCTTTATTTGTTGTGAATTCCAGCTAAATGCTGGTAGCTCTAAAGTAGACATATTCTATAGTTAGCTGATTATATAGCTAATTTTAGAAGATCTATTTACAACAGTGATAACAGTATAACCAATTGAGCAATTGCCACTGTGTGTGGATGAACTTGTTTGGGGAGTTTAGCCCTTAGACATTGTTTCTGCAGAATTACAGAATTGTTACAGGACAGGAGGCTATTCAGCCCATGGTGTCTGCACCGGTTGTCTGAGCTTTCCAACTTGGTACCAATCTCCTGCCTCTTCCCTGTAACCTTGCACATTGCTTCTCTTTAAATAATCATCCACAGTCCTCTTGAAAGCCTCAGCTGAACCTGTCTCTACAACACTTGCAAGGTGTGCGTTGCAGGGCCTAACCACTCATTGTCTGAAAAAGATTTTTCTCATCTCCTATTTGCTTCTTTGGCAAAACACTTTAAAACTGTGCCCTCTTGTTCTCAATTAGTTTGGGAACAGTTTCTTCCTATCCACTCTGACCAGACACCTCATGATTCTGAAAATACCTATCAAATGTCCTCTTAGCATTCTCCTTTCCAAGGTAAAACAGTCCCAAATTCTCCAATATTTCTTTATAACTGAAGGGTCTCATCTCTGGTACAGTTCTTGTAAATCTCTCCTGCAATCTCTGCAATGCATTCACATCCTTCCTATTGTGTGGCACCCAGAACTGTACACAATACTCCAGCTGAGGCATAACCAGTGTTGTATATGTGTTCATCATAATCTCCCTGCTCTTAATAAAGCCTAGGATACTCTGACGGCACAATGAAATACGGAAATTGGAGGTTTCTGTTCAGATTTTCCTGCTCCTCCACAAACTTTGCAACATGAAGACTCGGCATTAAAATACAAGAAGGGCTAGAATTTGCTATTAGGCATGAGAAAGTTAGGCATGAGAAAGTTAGGCATGGCTCATTCAGTTGTATGCGAATTCTTAATGGTGTGATCAATATTAATAATGGTCCAATAAGTTCTCTGACCCTGAAAATGTAGTTGTTCAGCTGTTGAATCTGAATCCCCCCCAAATGTTATTATTGTTGCAAACTTTTCTTTAACATTTCCCTTTCTGTCATTAATCTCTCTTCACCCAATCTTTCTTTCCCTCTCTATTTTGATTTGTGTAGATTTTACATTGTATTGAATATTTTAGTTTATACTTCCTTTTTTAGGCCCTGCAGGTCTCAGTAAGGAGTCTTCAGTTTGACTAGGTTAAAATAAAAAACAAGATCTCATTTGATGAGGGCGCCATGTTAAAAGGGATCTCGACACCTCACAGTTGCTGTTCAACAGCTCGTGAAGTGTGGGCAGCTTTCGGCATGTTAAATGAGGAGTGTTATTCCTTTGCCACTGATGACAAAATCTGGCCAATTAATTTTGAAATGGATTGTAGTTCTTTCAGTAGTCATATACCTCTCCACCATTAATTGTATGGTGACCTTATGTTTAAACAGTAATTCTGTATTAATTTTTCAGAGATTTTGTACTAAGATTTTGTGTTTTTTGCCAGCAATTCTTACACAATAATCCCTTTCTAACAAAAAACTTCACGGTTTCGCCTCCAACTGCTTCACCCCCATTTCCCCCCTCATTTCTTTTTCTCAGCTACTTCCTTTTTGTTTGCAAAACATTTAATTTTCATACTGCGCCCCCCCCACCCAATCCATTGTCTTTTCAATTTTTCAGTTGGCTATGAATGCCACTTGCAGGTGGCACCAAGAGCATATATGTGTGAAGAGGCATACTGCGCAACTGTGGACTGACAAAAAAGGTGGTGTCCAAGGTGGCACTGCCCGAGGCCAGCCTGAAGTGAGACAGCGCTCAGGGAAGCTGAGGCTGCCAAGGAGGAGCAGAGGAGCGTGCAGCTCTGAAGGCTCACTCCTCCGTTGCGCTGCCCTTCACACTCCCACTGCCACAGCATCCAGGAGTAGGGCCTCTTGGTTCCGGAAGCAGCCATGCAGTGAGATGAGCACACACTGGCCTGGTCTTACTCCTGCTTTCCCGACCATCCTCTTAAGGTATGGGTTTACCTGTGCGACAGGCAGCCTCACGTTCACCCCACACTCCTCCCAACCCCTAACCTGGCCCTTTCCTGTCTTGGCCGGGAGGAATTACTGGTCACACCTATGTGGCAGCCCCATTGCATTAAGAATCCACTTTTAGTTTTTACGTTAACATTTCCTTTATCAACTAGCCTTTCTTTTGCAGTGGGCGTATTTTGTTCATAATTCATCAGGATGGATGCAACAGGGAAAAATAAACTAAGCAGCTTGCTTGATCATGATCCCCCTCAGAATTCACACTTATCCTTCGCTAAAGCACTGCCTTTGGCGTCAATAACGTTTGCAGGATGCTCTGTAGCTCTCCATTCTGATTAGAAGAATGTCCTCTGATGTAGGGGAATAGTGTCTCAGGAGATCTAAGTGAATGGCGTCAGCTGCTGAGAGAGGAATTTATGGCTACATTCCATGACCATCTCCAAATAAGCTAAATTGCAAAAGAGACGAGAGTGGTACAGCAATGAACACGAGCATTATCAAGTGTAACATCCTGAAGCAGAAAGAGACATCGTTATTCAAGAAATCCAAAAATAAAATTCATCCAGATAACACCAGCCTGATGTCACCTAAACTCCAAAATAAGTAGCGCCAGGATTTTTCAAAGGCTACTTTAGGAGGAAATTTGAGCGCAAAGGCATTCGGACTTTGACATTCATTTACAGTCTGCATTCTATTCAGATGCAGGCACAACTAAAGCTGTAGAAGATTGAATGCAATGGTATTTCAGAAAAAAAAAGCAAAGGAATAATATTACTTCTCCTTTGCATTGCATCCATTTTTCAGAAGTTATTTTGGACTCAATAGAAGCAAATTGGATATATTATGTATAGTGATTGGATTTAAAGGGACAGCTATAAACCATATCTTTGTCACATCATGGTGACGTTGTTACATTTTACAGCAGTTTGGGGTGCAGGGGATAAGTTCACTAGGTTTATCTGACCTCACCAAAGGAGCAGCACAATGAAAGCTTGTGATTTCAAATCAACCTGTTGGACTATAACCTGGTTTTCTGATTTTGTCCACCCCAGTTCAACACTGGCATCTCCACACCAGGCTTATCCTGGACATGGAGAGATTTTCTTTAGAGGAGAGATGGTGCAGGTTGGGCCTGTATTCATAGAAGAATGAAAGGTGACCTCATTGAAGCATACAAGGTTGTTTGGGGATTCCGCATTTCATGTTTCCCCTTGCAGAAGAGTCTAGGATCAGATGGTATAATCTCAAAATAAGGGATCACCCAATTAGCACTGAGAAGAATAAGAGTTGCTTCTCTCAGAGGGGAGTGACTCTTTACTGCAGAGGGCTGTTGAGGCTGGTTCATTAAGTGTATTCAAGGCTGAGGTAGACAGGTTTTTAATCAGTAAAGAAATCAACCGATATGGGAAAAAGTAGGAAAGTGGAGTTGAGGATTATCAGATCAGCCATGATTCTATTGAATGGCACAGAAGATTCGATGGGCTGAATGGTATATTTCTTCTCCCATGTATTATGAAAAGGGGCAAAAAGAAGGATTTCTCCTACCAAAGTACCATTGGACCATGTATCCACAATCTAGGCTTTGTTGGGTAAAATCTCTTGGGTACAATAGTGCAGAGCCCAATATTTTTATTGAAATATTTCAAGTTGTTTCTCAGGAGTGTCTCTTACCTACTCCATGTATAACTGATCAACTGTGGTCAGATAAAGCACAGGAGCACCTGCGCAATGTTGATTCCAAACCAAAGGATTCTTGTGAGCATTGGCAGTGTCTCTACCCCTTTGAACCCTACCTGGGTTCAAATCTGATCTGCTCCAGAGTTGAGTCATAAAATGTCTGAACAAGCTGATTAAAACAAAATCTTTGAATTCTGTTGACTTCTTCATTTCTGAATTGTATAGCTGAAGCAATAACAGAGTGGGAGCTGCATAGCAACGAAATTAAAAGTGCAGGTTTATGGCAAAATAGGCCAAACAGTGCTATTTTCAGGTAGGAAGTATTTCGGAAACAGAATAATACCAGAGGGAACAGAGAAAGAAACCAACCGATAGAAAACAAATACTTTGAAGCCTAATGTGAAAACTGAGAAACAGAAAGGACTCCACTTCCCTTCATAACACATTGAGCACCACACACTAACAACCATAATGTCTCACAACCTAATCCATTGAAATCTGTGGCCAATATCTTGAGAAATCCATTGCAAATTCACCCATTAAGTTGGTTTAAGTTTACAAGAATAATTTTTGCTTTTTAACTGATTATTTAAGCAGCAAATCCGAATATAGTCATGAGGAACTTCAAATTTGATCACTCACTAGATTGTCAAGTCATTCATTCAGAAAATACTCACAAAGATAACATTTTTTGCAGCTACCATGATTTGAGTGCCATCAGATGACCACGTGCAGCATTTTAACAGCACCTCCACCTCTTCCTCATCATCATCGCCATCAGCAGCATCTGGTTTCTGGAATTGCTCACGTACGTCAAAGCTCTTCCACTGATTAGCCGAGGAGGTGTCCCATAGCTGCAAAAACATAAAGCAGTGTTGCTATGGCAGCTGTAAAACAACAGCAGTTGATTTCAGAACACACACCAATTTCCAAAGACTTTTTGAATGACTGAAACTGATAGACTTGGATGATCTACACCTGAAGAAGCCCTACTGAGATTCTGAAACTGTTTGTTACCAGGCAGAAGCAGAATCTATAGGAAGGATCCCAGCATTTCGAGACCCAATGATGGCGAAGGGAAGAGGAAAAGCAGGAGTGGTGATAAGACCATGCCCGTACCCAAACTATAATACACGGCTGGACGTGCCTTTTGTGCCATTAGGTCTGAAGTTGCTAAATCAGCTTCAATGGCCATCTTCAGATTTACAGGATACAATCATTCTTGCCTGAGGAATAGCTAATAATATTACCTGGATTAATGATCTTCTTTAGTGAATTGTTACTATCCTTGGGTTCCATCTTATTTCTGTTCCTCCATGTAAATTCATAAACCCATGCATTTCCCATTTATCTTCTCACATAAAAAAAACTGCTTCCTCTGCATTCATTCTCTAGTGGTACACTATGAACACAACCACGTCTGGTCCATCTGTTCCTTGCCTGCCTTCAGTTTCTAACCAACATCTTTCATCCTGTGCTTTGTACACTTATAGCACTTTATTCCATATCATCATGGTCACATCTTTTTTCTTCAAGCCTCACTAATTTGCCCACTTAGTATGTGCAGATTCATTTCCCTGAGAATCCACATCCCCTGAAGTTTCCACCAATAGTCCAAAGGCTTCTTCCAATACTTTCTTTGTCCCCTCCTCAGGGAAATGCTCCATCTTTCATTTTCTGTGTCCGTGACAGAAAACTGGCATAAAAAAGGCTAGCAAAGCAGGGAATTGGAAGGATTTGTAGCTCAGCCTGGAGAAACGGCCAAAAAAGCCAGCTAACATGTTATGAGCAATGAGTCTGGTCTACTTGCCTAGATAAGTGTAGCTCAAAAAACAGTCAAGAAGTTGGTTGTCGTCTAGGACAAAGTAGCCCACTTGACTGGCACTACCTCAACTACCTTCTCTATGCTCACTCCCTATATCACTGACAGTAGGACAGCGGTGTGTACCACTTACAGGATGTACTGCAACAACTCACTAAAGCTTTCTTCAACTGAACCTTTCAATCCCAAAGTCTTCACCAACTGGAAAGGCAAGGCCAAGAGATACTTGGACTTCATGGGTTAAAATATGAAGAGAGATTACACAAATTATGCCTGTTTCTCTCTAGAATTTAGAAGGTTAAGGGGTGATCTGATGGAAGCCTTCAAAATATTAACAGGAAAAGACAGGCTGGATAAAAATAACTCTTTGCACTGGTTGGAGGTTCCAGAGTTAGTGGGCATAGTGTGCGAATTAAGGCCAGACCATTCAGGAGAGATGTTAGGAAGCACTTCTAAACACGAAGGGGTAGATGCTTAGAACTCTTTTTCCACAAATGGCACTGGATGTAGGACCAGTTGTTAATTTTAAATCTAAGATTGGTAAACTTTTGTTAAGCAAAGGTATTAAGGGATATAGGCCAAAAGGCAGGTATATGGAGTTAGGCGACAGCTCAATCATGATCTCACTGAATGATGGAACAGGCTTGAGGGGCTGAATGGCCGACTCCTGTTCCTATCTTTTTGGGAATACCTCCATCAGTACGTTTCCCTGAACGTCTCACACCACCCTGACATGGTAGTATATCATTATTCCTTGACTGTTACTGGGTCATATTCCTGGAATTTCAAATGTAGAAATACTGTAGGTGTACACAGAATTGAAGGAATGCAATGGTTCAAGAAGGTACCTCCCCACCACTTGCTCAAGAACAATTAGGAATAAGCAACAAATGCTGGTCTTGCCAGCAACATCCATATCCTTTGACAGAATAAATAACGTACTTGTAAACTATGAAGGCACAGACAAAAGTCCAAGGACAGTGGGAAGTGGAACAACACTTAGAAGTGAAAGCAGATGGGCACAAGGTTTCAGGAATGGGAGGTGCAGAACACAGTTTTAAAATGAAACAAGAAACTGGCCCATATAAGGGGAAAAATACTTCAATAAACCTTTGTTACAGCACCACCTAGTGAAACTACGTGGGAAGTCAAGCTCTGAAATGCAGCAGCACCAATGAATGTTGGGAGAATTATGTGTTAAATTTAATGCCAAGAATGCACACAGTTAAGTCAATCCTGGGTGTTACGTTTAGGAATGAAGGAGTTGGTGAAGTAAACACAAAGTGCATTTAAGGTGCAATCTTCAGCATCATTGTTATTTGTATGTTAACACCTTCACTGGAAGCCCTGGAATTTCATAACACAGCTTTATAATTACTGAGGAAAGATGCTGTTTAATGATATCGGTGCTCATTTTTTTCCTTCATAGTAATCATAGCAAAGCATAATCATATTTCAAATCTGAAATCAGCATATCCGTATTCCATTGAGACTTATGGATAAAGATGAAAGCACATAAAACTTTTTAAGTGGTTCACTTGCATTTTAAATGGAACACTACACACAGTTATTTCAAAGGTTGTAACTGAAAGAGTGGAACACTTTCCCAATGAAGTCTGCAAATGCACAGTCTAAAATGCAGCTTTGATTATTGAAGCACCCAAGTTGGTACATGCCTTCACTGTCCCATCATTGGAGCAACTTGCCAAATATTGGTCATCAGGTGAAAACCTGCAATGGTTAACATAATCTGTGTGGCCAAACAAAGTGTTCCTACAGTTTGTTCCTTTCAGATCCCATGTCTGTGAAATACAGAAAAGAAGTAACATGATTAGATTGAAAGTGAATAAAAATATAGTTTTTTATTGTGGTACTGCATTAAAATAATTTCATCATTTATTCTTTTTCTCATCTGAAATAGCTAACAGCAAGAATTTGAAAACTCAGGCTGAACTTCATAAAAACTACTACACAATACATTGCTTTTACTAAAATAACATTTGAGACATAAATGTAACACGCTTTAAAAATTCACAAGGCAAATCTGCGATCAGCCAGAACATGCTCAGCAACTAGTGAAACAAGTTCCCTCATCAAAAACTAAAAATTAACTGTAAAAAAATGCATGCAATACTGCTAGGAACTAAATTTGCCTTACATTTCCTGTAGATTCTGTGAGAGACTACAACTGCATTGCATGATGGTAAGAATCCAGCCATTTCACCACCAAAAATAAGTTGCAATGTCCAACTGCATGACTCATTAACATGCATCAGATCACAAAGAGTGAAGCAGTTTTACCTGGTGATGTTAATTCAATGAGATACTAATGTAATAACAGAAATGATGCATTTTAAACATGCAATTCTAAAATTCTTATGGGAATGGTTATGACTAAAGGTTACAAAACATTTAACTAACCAGACGCCTACAAAAGAGGGTCAATATATTCTGCAGATCAATTAGTAGATAAATAAATACATGCTTATAATAAAGTGATAGTAAAATCATTTATCATGGCATGCCAGCTATCAATAGGCTAGGATTAGTTAAGTATATTGAAGCTTTCATGTTAGGGAAAAGTTATCAGATATATGTCAGTGAATAGAGCACAAGCTTAATGTCAACAAGATACTTGGTTACTTATGAAAAGTATTATCTCACTATGAGCACAAAGTGTTACAGACGAAAGGATTCAGTCAAGTTACACCATAGCACAGAACAATCTGTAATGCATTGCACTTTAAGTAAACATTATTACAAAACAGTATATCATCGCATTTACTATAAGCAAAGTCACAAGATCTGAATTAACATTTACAACAACTAAAAATCTTCAAATAAAACAAACTAAACTCAAAAGACAACTTACTCACTTTCAAATAGGTATCATTAGAGCAGGTTGCCAACAGAATCTTATTTGGTGAATGTGAAAAACAACAATAGTTGACTTGTTCACTATGTTCATGGTACGTATGATACAACTCCCCAGTTAATAAATTCCAAACCTAAGGAGAAAGAAGTTACATTAGCTGTAAGGTGGAGAAAGCAAACCCATTAATGGAGGATTATTAAGTAAGATATTTCCACAGAACACACTGCAAATTGCTTATAGACATGAAAACGCAACTTAGAAAACAAATCACTCACTTCTGCTGCTGGTGTCATACCTTAACTTTTGTATCTGAGGAACATGTGGCGACAAACTTGTCATCTGGTGAAAATGCACAACATAGAACTTCATCATCGTGTCCCGTGAGTTCCAAAAGTTTCTCGCCAGTTTCACTTTTAAAAACCTACATCATAATTTGAAGAGAGAATTTTGAAACACAAGATGTAATTTTTTGCACATCGCAGAACCACTTATTTTAAATTTAATTGACTCAAATATTCTTAAACACTTTCCTAGAACCATACTCAGACAATATGGATCCTGCACGGAGCAAGGTATTAAATAGTGTACTGTAGAAAGGGAATATTATCATGCAGGAAAAGTGTGATGCAAGGCAAGTAAGTTATATATATTTATAAATTAAAATAATTTATTTTAAGAGTTTGCATTTAAAGCTAGTGGCATGTGGATTTTGGTCTGTGGGGATTTTATGATTAGTGTGGTTTAGGTCACACATAACTATAAATGTAGTTTCATTCAACACTAACTTCAAGAGATAGTACCAACCAAACAAAACAAAATAATTTACAAAAACAGAAATTACTGGAAAAACTCAGCAGGTGTGGCAGAGAAAGCAGAATTAATGTTTCAGGTCCAGTGACCCTTCTTCAGAACTAAACAATATGTAGCGTGATGTTTAGTAAAATTGAGTTATTGAAGAATAGCAGAATAATATTCTGCTTCTTATACTTTCCAGTACAGTACCAGGATAATGTAAAAATAGATAACACAATTTTATAGGCTGTTATTTACCTGCAAAGTTTTATCTGCTCCACAAGAAGCTATCTTCAACCCATCATGAGAAAAACAGGCGTGAAAAACAGCATCACTGTGAGGTCGAACAACAAGGCGAGACAAGTTCTGCAAGGCTTTCTTGTTCCTGTTATTTAACAGCATTTATTAACTTATAGCCAAGAACTGACTTAAACATGTTGTTCTAACCATTTCTAAACAGTAAAAAGTTCTAAATAACTGATTTGGTTAGACAGACTAAACTCTCAGATGAAGAGATAAGTGATTCGGCATTCATAGGAAAATAGGAAGGAAAATAGGATGGCAAAGAACAACAACTGAGGGACAGTTCCAAAACAAAAACACAATTATATAAATGCTGGAAATACTCAGCATGTCATCTAGCACTATTGGAGAAGGCGGGAGAGTGAGAAAGAGAGAGAAATATGTTAAGATACTTTGATTAGAACTGCAAGTTCTAGCAATGGGCAGTTAATGCTGGCTAGCCAACGACGCCCACATCCCACAAAAAAATGGATAAAATACATAATTTATACATGTAGTGCAAAAAAGAAAAGAGTCAGCTGTTATTTTGGCCAGTATGAATATGGAGAAAACCTAAGGTGTTCATCTTACTAATGTTAAGAAGAGAATCTCCAACAGTTGTTGGGTCAAATTAATTTGCTTTGTGAAAAAGATTCATGATATTATTATTTGGAAACCTAAATTCTAAAGTGGATAGCGCCAAGAATTGTCTTAGGTTTCATTTGTATTTCTGTGGTGAGTATGTTTGTAAGTGGAGGAATAATCTTAGTTCCATTTTTGAGTTCTGTAAGTGGTGATAAATTGACTGAAAATGTGTTTAAATTGTACATAATTGGGACTTTTAACCACAGCTTATGAAGACTTCCACTGTTTTCTCTGCCTATTGACGTGCCATGGCAAGAAGATCGAATAACACTTTGCAAACAGCTTTGTCAGTTTTCCAGGAGTTTGATCAGCTTTATGATCCTTCTTCAGTTATGTTCCATGAGAATGAGCCTCTTTCTTTTTCAGAGATTCTAACTAGGAGACACAACAATGGGGGTGAATTTGACAACATGTAACTATTCGGTGCAGTTCATCGTTCCGCGAAGAAAGTCCTGTTGTCCTTGCCTCGTCTGCCCTTCGTCAAGATTCTTGCAATACATATCCAGATGTGAGTGAGGAGAATACTTCACCTACTCGTATGGAGATGTCAGTTTACGTGCCCAACAATGTTACTATAGAAGCACTCATGTGGCCATTCAAGATGAGATGAACTTTCACAACCCAAGAACATGAAACTCTGCATAGACAGGAAAATTCTTCAGCAACTCTAAAGCATAAGAACAACAGACATTCTTTAAAATGAGAGGTTAGAGAGCTCATCTTTTCCCAGCCTCCCAGACAGTCAAAGTTTGCAGCAGTTCCTCTCATCTCATCCGTTTGTCCAGAAGATTTGCAGCATCTTCAGATGCAGTTTTGACGGTCTTGACTGCAAATCTTCCTGCACAGTCAGAAATCTCTGAAGAGGTTTTCATTGATCCTTCACAGTTCTTGCATGAGATTTTTGAGGAAGTGAATCTGTACTCTGCTGTCTTCATCCTAAGCTTGAAAATACTGCACAAGAATCTCAAGTTGCCATTGTCCTGCTATTGTAGGTAATGGTAATATTCTTCAGCTTCCCTTTGATGGTACAACTTCACCGTTCAATAGTTGTGCACTGTCAAATTCTCATGTCAACAGAGGGCATCGTGAAAGAGAAAGCTAATTGGCATCCAGTCAAATGGAAATGGTATCCTCTGAATGAGTATCAACCCCTCTTCATCCCAATGTGACCATCTCGTTGGCTGCTGGTGCTTTCGGTGCTATCAACTTCGGGCTGCTAACGCTATTCTTTTTCTTTCATAGAATCCCTACAGCGTGGAGGCAGGCCAGTCAGCCCATTGAGTCCACGCCAACCTTCCGAAGAGCATCCCACCCAGATCCATCCTCCTGCCCTATCCCCGTAACACCACATTTCCAATGGCCAATTCACCTAGCCTCCACATCTTGGGACTATGTGAGGAAACTGGAGCACCCTGAGGAAACTCACCCAAGACGTGAGGAGAACGTGCAAACTCCACACAGACAGTCGCCCCAGGTTGGAATAAAACCCCAGGTCCCCTGGCGCTGTGAGGCAGCAGTGCCAACTACTGAGCCCCTACTTTCAGCTGCTGAAAGTACAATTCCAAGCCATCTTTCAGGCTATCCTCTCTGCCATTTTGAATGGCCAAACAGTGAGATCTCCTGAGCACTTGAATCTGTAAACAAGGAACTCTGGGAGGAGGTGGTGCAAGAAGTACATTCAGTCAAAGGGGTCAGAGATAGTAGGAACTGCAGATGCTGGAGAATCCGAGACAACAAGGTGCAGAGCTGGATGAACACAGCAGGCCAAGCAGCATCACAGGAGCAGAAAGGCTGACATTTCGGGCCTAGGCAAAAGTGGATAGGAATGGAACAAGATATGGAAAATGGGTCTAGAGGAGTTATAAATGGTGAAGGCAAATTCATCATCACATAAAACAATAAAAACAAGAAAAATAAATATCGAATCAATAACTCAGAACCCCAGAGTTTGGAGTCAAAGCTTTTGAAGATCTGATTCACAAAAGAAAAGGTTGAGACACACTGGGGTGAGTTGTGATGGGATAGGGAGGCCAGGGCTGAATTTATTGGCTTGACATGAATCTTGGGCACCAGGTCAAGAAGTGTTGGGAACCCCCAATTTTTCTATAGGGGTGGCACAATGGAATTAAGTGCCACCCCTCAAACTAGCCACTGTTGGGTCTTCCCTGAAACTGAGAAATCTGGGGGAGGAAATCTCACCCACCGAGAGCTGGTTGGTCAAATGCCATCAGCTCCTTGGTGCCAGCCGCAATGCTAAGAGTGCTGCCAATCGCTGGTAGCACACCCACGAGCGGCCCATGGTTAAAGAGGGACCCCAAACCAAAGATGAGTGACGATGGTAAACAGAGGACGGGGTTTCGGAAGAGGGGAGGAATTGGGTTCAAAGGCAAGGGCAGTGGGACAGCTTTCAGCACAGTCCTGCTAATCCCAATGCTGAGGCCTGACTCTGTGGGCAGCTTACTGAGCTGCTGTAGGAAGGGGCAGAAAAGCTGTGCAGCTCCCAAACTAACTGCTGCATCACCACAAAATTGTGGCGGGCTCGCTAATGAACCTAATTGACACGCTGCTGTTGGTGAGCAGAATCCCTGCATTCGACTCTTCCTGCCCCAAATTTAATTGGCAATAGATTTTCTGGTGACAGGAGTCTAATGGCCAATTCTTCCCATTATCCACAATCACACCATCTCTAAGGGGCTAAACAATTTGGCTTCAAAGGGGAAAGGGCCACGTTTGAAAAGCAGACTTCGAGATGAGAACTCAAAGAGATTAGACAGGGAAAAGCCATGATCAATTTGGAGAAGAGTATTATGGAGAAGAGAAGCTATCTGTGGCCATCAGGAAGGCATAGTGGGAAGAGAGATTTAGTGTTGGAAAGCACAAAACCAGTAGTAGTTTAGGACGTACTGCAATTCGAGAATCTGATGAAAAAATCAGTGAAGAAGTCAAGCATTGACCTGGTGGTTCCAATTGACAGGTGAGACAAAGGCAGGATGGAAGGGTTTCCGAGATTATCACAAATGATGAGAACAGGACTTAACTAGCAAGGGAGTGGGGAGGAGGTTATACACAAGGATCTTAGATACGAGATAAGTTAGGACTTAGGCATTTGTAGATGGAATTTAAAATCAATAGCACAGAGGAATTACATGAACAAGACATCCAAAGATGTGCAAGTTAGGTGGATTTGCCATGCTAAATTGTCCATAGCGTTCAGGGATGTGTAGGTTAGGTGCATTAGCCACAGGAAATGCAGGATTACGGGGATGGATCTGGGTGGGATGCTCTTTGGAGGGTCGGTGTGGACTGGTTGGGTTGAATGGCCTGTTTCCACACTGTGGGGATTCTATAATGATAAGACTGAATAAGGGAAAGGAGGAAAATGGGGAAGCTAAAGTGTGATTTTAGGAAAGCTGAAGAGTTGTGAGGGGTGGTGGACGATATCAGGAAGAAAATAGAAGGAGATCAAGGTAACCAACTGGATAGTCTCAGCACTTAAGTTAAAGTGAAAGTTGGAGTTACAGTGAAAGCTTTAAATTATTAAAGTCAGTGTTAATTCCAGGAAGCTGTGAAAGTTTCAGTTAAAAAGATACGGTTCCCTAAGTTGTGCAAACTTCACTGGAACAGTGTGGAAATCCAAATATAGAAGACTCAGAATAGGAATGCAGCACAGAATTAAGTTGCAATCACCAGGGATTTCATGGTCACATGTGTGGATTAACAATAATGATCATGTTATACACATCCATACATATATAGACATAAAAATTGCAACTCAGAAATCAGGCCATTTCCCTCATCCAGTCTGTGTTGGTGTTTAACCTCCACATATTCGGTAAAATCTCACGTTTACTCTTTTCCCAAATCCTTTTCTTCAATCACCTATCTACTCTGTTCTTAAATGCTGATCTGGTCCCTGTTTCAACTACTAACAATTTGCTATGCTCTAAGGAGCATATTGCTTCCCTTCAATCAAAGGAAAAAAAAAAACTTGTGGTTTCAAACCATTTATTCCAACATTACTTTGGTTCAAATCATGTAATTTATTGTGGAAGGCTTCCTTCAGGCATTATAAGGAGTGGATGAAAGGGTGAAGTAGTTCTGCCTTAGCAATTTCAGATCTCAACTTTAATTATCTTAAAGTAAATTAATTTACTTGAATTACATTGATTTACTTTAAAGACTTATAAGACTCATAATTGTAACATCTAAAATAAATAGAATACAAGAATAACAGAAGCAGTAAACAGAATATCAACATTTCAATCTGTAAAATAAAACATCACTTTCATCTCTTGTGTGGAGATATTGAGAGTTTCAGATAGGTCAGGAAACTGCATGTACTTACATGCTGAACAGGTTTTTCTATGAACATAGATAAGATTATCTGACGTTCTGTTCAAGTGGGAAAACAAGTGATGCAAATACCTTTTGCTACAACACTAATTTACAGTTATTCTCATTAGGAAGACAGGAATAACTCAAGATGGATAGATATCAATATTAGATAAATAAACCAGGATGGAATTGAAGTTTCGAGTATATAGGCCATATAAGAGCAGAAAACATGGAAATTAAGTTCTGAATGCAACTGAGTTCAATTTCTGTTAGAATATAGGTAATAAACTAATAATATTTGGTGGTACAGAAGTAGTTATTTGTATAGTTGGAACAATGGCACAACAAAGACAAAATTAAGGATATCAATGATTATATTTACTCAATTAAGCTTCAGTTTACATTATACCATCTTTGCATACTAACATCCAATCCAGGTATACAGCCCCTTTTTTGGCTCGTTCCACAGCCTGCAGTTTTGCCTGCCGATACACTTCAGAGAAATCAGGCTGACAAAGGCCCAATTGCACAATATCTGGAAAGGGTTTCTGCACAAGAAGATGGCCTTTCAAAGACAAGAATTCTTGAAAATTTTCCCGCACTGTACTGTTCTGTAAAGGAAACGGGATATCAATTTTTACCTTTTTAAAATTTATATTAAAAAAAATAAAACATCATGATTTCTGAAATGAAGAAGTGTTAAAATGCACTGCATTGTAAACCTTAAATCTCAAATCAAGAAGAAAATAGCAATTACATATCAAAATATGGTCATCTTATTGGTTTGAATTTTGCAATAGAAACAACAGTAAAACTGTCAGCATTCACCAGCACATTTTTTTACTTTCCTTCTCAGTTGTTTGCAGGAGTCTCTCATTTTCAATTACAAGTTTTTTAAACCCTTTCTCCTTCTTGGTTTGCACCCCTTCAGTTACCTCCTTCACTATGTTCATTTGCTGTCCAACATTGTCGCCTTGTACAGTCTGATAGTTAACTTTAAAAATACAGGACAAGAATTTAGCATCCCAGAATTTAGCAAATTCTTCAATTCTGAAGAAGGCTCGCTGATCCCAAAATATTTACTTTGATTTCTCTCTGTAGATGCTGCCAGACCTGCTGAGATTTTCCAGCAATTTCAGTTTTATCCAGAAATTTAATTTTTTATTGTCTATGATCAGGAATAAATTGGCTGTGTTTGCAAACATGTCAGTTTTTGCTGAAATCATTACAATTGGAAAAAAATGGTGACTGTTAATGTTTAAAATATATAATGTTTCAAGCAAAGAACATGAAGAGAAATTTAAGACTTTTTAAATAATTGAAAAGTTAACAGAAAAACATTTCCAATGAAAGAAACATCTCTATCTTATTCATTCAACCTTAAGTGACACTGGCAGACCCTAGTGACTACATTTAACTATTTTTCCTCATCTTTCTACTTTGTACCCAAGATTTTTCACCGAGGTACTTTGTACCTAATATTTTTTATGTATGTATCTTGTACCTAAGAAAGCACCAGGAAGGCGACATTGTACACTTTTCACTGTACTCCTGTATCCCTATACTTCAGTACGTGACAATAAAATCAAATTCTAATTCCAGTTTTAATTCTAAATTGCAGCCGTCGTTTCTACCTGATTTCATTGATGTTACCCAAAGCAATCTACTCCTATGCAAAGAGGAATAGCCTATGAACAAAAATAGCCACATTTCTCAGCACCAATCAAATATAGACAAAGAATTATTTTCATATCTTTCTTTTCAACATATTGCAAGCAGTTATATTCTCTGCCTTAGATTCAATTATTGTTGGTATCAGGCTGTAATGATGTTCCCTTGGTAACCCTGATTCGTAGCAGCATCTGACCAGTATCTACACCCAATTATATTACACAGAGGTAAAATGGAATACAGATGTCTCTTCGTATGTTTGTCAATGGCAAGACAACTGAAAAAGTAAACTCAAAACATTGATCGTCTGATCTAATTATCATTTCAAACACAGGAAGACCATCCGGCTATATGCACAACCATTACATATATAAGTGAAAGTAATTCGTAAAAATAGGATTCACTTGTACGAAAAGTAAATACAGATATCTTGGACATTACAATCTAATAAATAACTTAAATCTCACCACTGTGTAATGTAGTATTCAATTTCAAGCCAAAGTATTTTACATCCATAGTGCTATTAGGGATGTAGTTCCAGAGTTTTGAGTCAATGCCAATGAAGGAATGATATATATCTGGATCAGGTGTATAGCATAGGGGGAAATTTGCAGGTTACAGAGTCATAAAATCATACAGCATGGAAACAGACCCTTCAGTCCAACCAGTCCACGCCGACCATATTCCCAAACTAAAATACCTGCTGCATTTAGCCCAGTTCCCTCCAAACCTTTCCTATTCATGAACTTATCCAAATGTCTTTTAAATGTTGTAACTATACCCATATCCACCACTTTCTCCAACGGTTCATTCCACACACGAACCACTCTCTTTGCAAAAAAGTTGCCCCTCATGTCATTTTAAATCTTTCTCCTCTCACCTTAAAAATATACGCCTAGTTTCAAATTCCCCCTCCCTAGGGAAAAGACCCTTGTCATTCATCTTAGCTTTGCCCCTTACGATTTTGTAAACCTCAATAAGGTCACCCTCAACCTCGTATGCTCCGGGGAAAGAAGTCCCAGCCTATCCAGTCTGCTTTTATATCTCAAACCATCCATTATTGTCCTTGTCCTTCCAGGTGCTTGAGCTTGTGGGTTTGAAAGGTATTGTCAAAGGAGCTTTCCCGAGTTGCTGCCTTTCCACGTTGTAGATGGTATACAATTCTGCCACTATGTGGTGATGGAGGAAGTGAATGTGAATCGTAAGCATACTTCTACTTATTGCAGTTTAACATATTCAGAACCATGATTCACATGATGAAATACTTAGCAGCCTAACATTACTTTGTCATTTTTTATCAAATATTCATATAATTACTGCACTATGTTTTGATATATATGTTTAATTTTATCACTGTACAAGGGCACATTTCATTATAACATAGCCCGAGGGGGTCTGTTCACTGATAAGAAATTTGTCAACTGTTCTCTCTCGTTACTGCACAACTGATACAAATATGTCAGACAATTTGGGAAATGGTAGATAAGTCTGACAAATCTAATTAGAAAAAGAGATTATTACAACAATTCCATATTTGTTATCAATATATTATACAACTTAATTTCTGTTGGGACCCAAGGCTTACTCTTCATTTGTGAGCAACGGAAATTCAAATGCATCATATCATCCTGAAGCAACTATAAATTTAACCACAATCTGTACCTTCAGGCAACTGTTGCGATTAGTATCCCTTGGTCGCTAGCCAGTTTTGAATTACTGGAGACATTTACTAACTGCAAGTCATATCAGCCATTTATTACAAAAAAATTGACTGATGTATTCTCCTTAAATCTCTCATCCAAATGTTTCCAAAGCAAATATTCCTGGCTCCTGTTCTTACACTCCTAGGCCTCAGCTGTTAACCTCTCACAACAGCAGAATCATTTCCACGAACTTCAGTAATAACTTGTAGAATCCTGTACATATCCTGATGCTGGGATTTATTTCCACTCCACACACAGACATAGCTCCATTCGGTGCACTTTTTTTTTTAACCAGAAAGGGCTCTGGGATCAAGATGCAAGTCACGCTTGAGGAAAGGAAAGATTAACAAGAGAACAGAAAATCACCATCTGCAGCAAATCTGCATCGTCTGACCACCATACACGCACAACTGGCCTCCAATTCTCAAAGCACCATTATTTTCAGGTCCATGTAAATTCTTTCATCTCTCTCTCCACAAAGGAGGGCAATGTGAGGTGCAGTCACCTCATAATAAACCCTCTGTCCCATATCTCCATGTGAAATGGTATTTATTACTGACAAGCATAGGGGCTGCTCTGAGAAGACTTACTCATTTTGCCATAACTCACGTAAATCAGTAGTACTTATGCTCAGGAACACAGTCAAGGACAGCAACCACAAGTAAAAGGGCCATTTTTTGCTAGGACCATTTCGTTAAGTATTTAAATAAAATAAAAGCTCAGGTTCCCAGTCAACATGTTATTTAAATGAAGTGCTAAATATGACACAAACAAGACTTTTCTTTTGTTATCCAGTTTAGTGTCAATTTAATGTCTCAATAAAATGACAGAATCCCTACAGTGCAAACAGAAGCTATCCAGCCCCGCAAGTCTGCACCAACCTCCAAGCAGCAACGCACCCAGACCTGAATCCCACATTTACCATGGCTAATCCACCTAGCTTGCATATCCCTGCACACTACGGGGCAATTTACCATGGCCTATGAGAGAAAACCCACTGAGGGAGCGCCCAGTAGAAACCCATGCAGACATGGAAAGAACGTGCAAAGTCCACACAGACAGTCGCCCAAACAGCAGTGCTAACCCATAAGGCACCGTGCTGCTCTGGTTTTGAACAGAGTTTCCAATGGATGCAGTTTAAAAACCAGAATGATAGGAGGATGTTCATCAAATTCAGTAGAAACTTTACGAGGCATTCTGACTTAGTGAATGCTTAATGTCTACAATTCTCTATGCAAACACACTGGAGACCAATATATCAATGCCCTTGTGCTACGAACAGCCTACAGTAAAAATGAGGAATGATTTTACAATGCACACATGTGCTTCAATTTTCAAGACTTCACACTGACATAAAGAAATGCAAAATATTCAATATGTGTAAATTCTATTCATCGGGAATGCAGCGACCAAACCTGGGACTGAAGACTCCATTTAAAGTTTTGGCTACCTGATGAGTCACGTTTGTATACAGAACTTCAAAATGCTTCACATATAATGGACCATATAGGTATGCAAATACAACAACCATTTTGTGTAATTCAAAAATCCCGCAAATATCAGTACGAATAGTAATCAGTTAATCAGGATCTTGTAGAAGTTTTAAGGAGGTATGCTTGCCAGGTTCTGTGCAATTTGAACCTCAGTATATGATATAACCATGACATTCCCAGTGTGGACAGCAACCTAGGAAGCACAACACTTTAATTGCACATGCTTCGCATTTTTTTAAGACAGCAATATAGCTGAGTACTACTGCTCACGTCGGTCAATTTAAGAACAACACTGATAATAGTTCTTCCAGGCTTGGAAAACAGCAGCAGCCTAGGCACATGAAGAATCAAAGCTAATGAAAACTGAACATTGCCTATAGAAATGAGCTTCACTGTGGCTGCGAGCGCTTTAGTTAATTAATTTCATCAGGCTGGAATTGAGCAGCGTGAAGTCCCAGTTCACAATTTTGAAACTACAAAAGTTTCACTGAATTTCCTGCTGTACACTTGGCTTCTGTACATTTCAGTGATGAAAGGGAAGATTGCAAAACTACTGAGATCTTAGGGACCCAATAACTCGATGTTTGAACCCATCCAGTTAGAATTTTGTTCCAGCTACAACACTTAGACAGACCTCATCATGTCTCAAATAACATGTAATTTGATAGTAACCACGGTAAACAATGCGTCCGATCCAACTACAGACTCTGGCATGGTAGACCACATCATTTTCCAGCAATGTATGCCCTCTACCATCCAGGTGGATGGCACTATCCTCCTTTAACTTGAGGGTCACTATGCCTCAGGTGAGGGGAGGGGTTGAGAAAGAGGGACCTTCATGATAACCTCACCTGTTACAGGAATTGAACCCGTGCTATTAGTGTCACTTGTTCAGTAGTAACATCAGCTAAGATCATGACACTTAGCATATCAAAGCTATTGAAACTAAAACAGAATAACAGATGCGACTGGGACTATGAATTACAAGGTGCATATTATTGCTGCAAATTAATTGGTGTCTTTCAGTGAAGTCATTTAACATGTTAAGCTTATTTTCCATCACTGCCAATATACAACTTGCTGCATGTCTTCATATACCTAATTCTAGATCCATATCATCATTGAAGTTGATCTGTCTCAGATTCATAGTCTGATTCGTCCACATCTGCCTTAATTTTAATCAGTCTTCCTTTAATTTGCCCCCTTGTCACCACATGTTGTCTCACCAATTTTATTTATTATAAAAATCATTTGAGTTATATGAATAGTGCGAACACCAGCAGGTCAACATCAGGTCTCTGAAAAGTCCGCTGGGTACTATTCCAACTTCCCTCATTTATTCTCACTCTTTTCTTTTGAATATTAGAAAATGTTTTATTCACTACAAGCTTACAGATGCACCTCATGTACTTGTGAAACTCCTTAAAATACTAAACAGAGTCTCTCTCATAGCAATGTTGATCCAAAAGGAGCCTTGATGTCTGTGCTATTGTTAGGTTTCTCACAGGTGTAATCTAATTGCATTTTTTTTCTCTGTAACCTTTAAAGTGTTTTTATTAAGAAACAACTTGCATTTATATCTTGTCTTCTATGCCCTCAAAACTTTCCAAAGCTCTTCACAGCCAGAGAAGTACTTTTGAAATCTTGTCACTACTGTAATGTTGGGAAATGCAGTGTTATGATTTCTATAGAGGCATTAAAATTTTGAATTTCTGCATGGTAAGTTGCAAGATTCCATGTTTTAAACATTTAGTGTAAACAATAGTTAAAAAACAATATTGGCTAAACACTATTTCCTTTCTGCATGCAAATTAAACTGTAGAAAGTGTATTCCCATTTGTATACTATCACCAATCACACTTTCCACAGAATTACACTCCTCTTACAAATAGTCCTCAGTTATGCCTAGCTTCCAAAGGGTTTCTGTATCCCTGTTTTACCAAGTAGTAACTGAGTGACTGTCTCCAGATACTTCTGTCAGTTTTAAGAGAGATTCTTTCAAGTCACTGTGAAACATACCTCTTTATCCAGTATGTGCCTATATTCCACAAAGTCATTTATCAGCTGGGCTGGGCCCATCAGTTCAGTTTTGGCCTTCATCCAATCCACTGAAAACATGAGGGAGTAGAGTTCCTGTGAAAAACATTTATAAAATTCAGTATGCTTATTTGTGATAAACGAGAAAGGTAAAATAGAATCCAAGCTCTAGAGACCAAAAGCATCATTAGTTCCCAAGAAGATAACCTATTAAGCACAAATTGCAAGTGAAAATATTTAGATTGACCAAAAAGAGCATGGAACTAGAATTTAAACTGCTGGTTGTATTTAAAACTGCTCAACCAAAATGCAAGAGATTAATTGATGCTGGGAAGTTAAACGGAGTGCCTTGCATATAGCACTCCACCTTTTGTGAGGTAGAACCGGAGTTTATTGACAGTTAGACAATCTCAAAATATCACAGACTTTTGTCAAAACATAGCATAGTCCACAGCACGCTAAACGTCAGTAGAAGGAATAAGTTAGATCACTATTTTTGCGACAGAATGAAACTTCGGGAAGGGAATAAAAGGACAATACCTCAATCAAATATCTAGATTACATTATATACAATTAAAGACCATGTAAAATTGCCCTAACAAAATGCATGATTTTAATATTCTAGTTAATGAGATTGACTTGCGAGTACACATCCGTCGAATAAGGTTTTTCAGCTTGTTCTATTTCAATAACTATCAGCATGATATTTTAATTGATTAATTTATAATTACTACAGTGCATTATGGAAAAACTAGAAGGGCTCATCTGCATTCATTACATTTTAATAGTTATAGGGAAAATTGAAACGTTCACATAAAAACAACTATAGATTTAACCTTTCTAGTGAAAAAATTATATTACTGAGGTCCTAACACCAAATTTATTAATCTATAAAATGAGAACATTTTAATATACCAGCTTATTTGAAATACCAACTCAATTTCTAACGCAAAATTTTCATGTAAAATTTATCTTTTGATGTGATGTTCATTACCATCTCTATTAGAAGCGTACAGATAGATTTTTCCATTAGGAAACTGAACTTAAAATGTCAATCATATAGAGAATTTCACTGTATTAAAGATGGCGGCGGAGGTTAAATTAGGTACCCTCTTATTTGGGTTGCTAGGAATAGGCAAGAATCACTTAACAAAACTTTATCATCTGATTGTGTCTCTACAGGAAAACATAGTCACTGACCATGACAATTGGAAGATTTCGATTCCAGTTATCAATAAGTACCTTCATGGCAAAGAACAACACTTCAGTACCTACAACCTTTATTTCAATTACAGATCCATACCAAAATATGCACTGGTGTGATCAAGTTCACATATTGTAGAACTTGTTGCTAATAAATAGTTATACATAAGTCTCAGATGTAATTGAACAGCATTCCAACTTCCTGTTTTAATAAAATGGTTGCCATCTTGTAAATGGACAACGACAAAGCAAACTAGCTGAAAACTTCTCTTTCATAAGAACATAAGAACTAGGAGCAGGTGTAGGTAATTCAGCCCCTCGAGCCTGCTCTGCCATTTAATGCAATCATGTCTGATCTCATCTCAGCCTCAACTCAACTTTTCTGCCCACTCCCCGTAATACTTAGACAGATTTTTAAAATATGCATTCAGTATCCCAGCGTTCACCATACTTGGGGTAGTGAATTCCACACATTCACGACTCTTTGACAGAAGTAATTCCTTCTCATCTGAATTTTAGATCTGCCATCCCAAAGCCTAAAACTATGACCTCTTGTTCTAGATTGCCCCATAACAGAAAACATCTACTCTACATTTACTTTGTCAATCCCTTTTAGCATCTTACATATCTCATTCAGATCTCCTCTCATCTGTGCTATATGACTCTAGATTCTAGGAAGGATTAGCATAAGACGCTTAATCTCTCTTCATAAATCAAGCCTTACATCTCTGGAATTAATCTAGTGAGCCTTCTCTGAACTGCCTCCAATGCAATTACATCCTTTCTCAAATAAGGAAACCAAAACTGTATGCAGTATTCCAGGAAGGCTAGGGAAGCCTTACTGCAGCTGCGCATTAAGGCTTCCCAAGCTGGTAAGACCACATCTGAAGAATTGAGAGTAGTTTTGGTCCCCTTATTTAAGCAAAGATACTTGTTTCACTGGACACAGTTCACAGAAAGTTCACTAGGTTGATCCCTGTTATGGAGGGATTGTCTTATGAGCAAAGATTAAACAGGTTGGGACTCTACTTATTGGAATTTAGAAGAATGAAAGGTGATCCCATTGAAACATACCGGATTCTTAAAGGGCTTCACAGGGTAAATGCTGAGAGGACGTTTCCACTCATGGGACAGTCTAGGGCCAGAAGGCATAGCTTCAGAATAAAGGGGCCCCAATTTAAGACAAAAGTAAGAAGGAATTTCTTCTCTCAGAGGGTTGAGAAACTTTGGAACTCCTTGCCACACGGATCTCTGGGTCAGAGTACTTGTGTATATTTAAGGCTGAGATAAATAGATTCTTGATCAGTAAGGGGATCAAAGTTTACAGGCAAAACACAGGAAAGTGGATGTGAGGAACACTGGATCATCCATGATCCTACTGAATGGTGTAGCAGGCTCACGAGGCTGAATTTTGTTTGATACAATTCCTGTGAAATGCCTTGGGATATGTCACTGTGTAAAGAGTTCTGCAAAACTGCAAAATGTTGTTTGGAGGTAATATATAGAATACCTCTGAAGAAACAGCAGATGGTACAAGTACAGAAAAACGAAATGGTATACAAAGTAATAACAATTGGTATTTTAAATTACATAAGCCATTTTACAGTAAGAATATCAATTCAATTCAGAGAGACCTCCATTATAAATGGAGCAAGTGGTCATTTGATAGCTTCCTCTACCAACCATTTCTAATCATGGTGGACTGTATAACTATTTTCTAAGGACTATATATTGTTACTTATGCAAGTCTCAAAATGGAACAAAAGTCGATTCTGACTTTTGTTTTAAAGCAGATTTCAAATCAAGGTAACGTAACGTCTGCACTAACCTTGTCCATATTCGCTTCAGCCATATGGGTTGGTAGAAAACTATACCAATACATACAATCCTCATCGGAAGGTGTTGGAAACTGTCCTTTATATGTCTTTTGATATTGCTGAACCATTTTTGCATGCAAGTCCTGAGAGAAAAGCAAATATGAACTGAAACTAACACAAATAATTTCAAAATATTGTAATAAATTGCAATAATGTCTGCAAATATATCAGCATCATAGCCACCTATTTTTCAGAGGTCTCTGCTTAAATTTACAAATAGGTGTTCTACAGCTGTGGGCCACAATTGCAATTGCAAATGCACCACACATGCTCCATCTTTTGCTTTCAGATACTGAACAATTTAACCACAGTACTTAACAGGTTCCAGATTATTTTTTTTTCAATTTTGTGCATCCAGATGGAGCAGGAACAGGGGAACATAAAACCAACTCCACAGCATCACCCTTGCTCACTTACAATCATCTCCAGGACCTACTTGCAATCAATGACCTGCAAGCGAGGCAACATTGAAGTGAGACTGAAACCAGTAATGCTCTGGACTCCAAGTTAGCTCCAGTGGGAGGCAGAACTTGACCACCACTTTTGCACCCATATCAGCCAGAGATCATAATTCATCGCCATTGTGGCCCTAACTGATCAAAAAGGAAACTGGAAATTCACAACACCAGGTAAAATTGCATATATAATATTCAAAGCAGGCTTATTATCTCATGTGATTCTGATATTACTGAACATATATTTACTAGAAGATATCCAAGTTTCAAAGTTATACTTCCACCAAGAAGCCAAAAATATAAAATGAAACTGCAAGAACATGATCAAGGGGAAAGATTACATGAAAACAAAACAAATCTACCGGAAGCTGATTGCGATACTGCTCAGTCAGGAAGTCCAACTGTAAATCATGCAGGTAATAATGAAACGATTTCCCATTGCGGTCACAGAACAATAAAGACTTGTTGACAAATACTTGTAAGATGTCTTCCACTTCTTCTGTTTCTAACGCCCAAAGAATACTCAGAACCTGTTCCGACATAAAAATTCACAGTCATATAGTATATGGAATTACCACAGGAACAACAAAAATCTGTACTTTACATTGTCTTTAATATAGTAAAACATTGCAAACCATGTCATATGGGCATTATCAAACAAAATACCAAACCAAGCTACTCAGAAAAATATTAGGCCAAGAGAATATCTCAAAAGAGACAGAAGTGGAGAACTTTAGGAAGGGAATTCCAGACCATGGGGCCTTGGCATTTGAAGGCTGCAGTTATTAGTGTAGCCATCAAGATCAGGAAAGTTAAGCACCTAGAATTGGAACAGAGCAGATGCCTCTGAATGCTGGAATAGAATAGAGAAGTACAGAGAGATCAGGAATTTGAAAAAAAATGAGAGTTTTAAAAATCAACAAGTTGCTTAACTGGGAGTTAATGTAGGTTGGTGAGCACAGAAGTGATGGGTGAATGGGATTTGTTGTTACTATTTTATTGGCTCCATATTTAGCAATTTTTGCGGCCTTGAGTTTGAAGAATTGGGGATACCTGGTTCAATGAGAGGACATGGTCAAGGCCCAAGGTTATCCAAAGTGCTAAAGAGTTGATCAACCCATTAGCAATGGCAAAGCTGATTCAGGTTCAAAGAATGGTCACTTTCAATATTGATGAATAGATCTGTATGCTTTTTTTTATTCATTCACAGGAGATAAGGTTCACTGGCTCGGTCAGCGCTGCTGCCCATCTCCCATTTCCCTTGAGAAGGAGGTGGTGAGCTGCTTTCTTGATCAACTACAGTAGGTACACCTATAGTGCTGTTAGGGAGGGCATTCAAGGATTTTTGACCCAGCACTGATGAAAAAAAGGTGACATATCACCAACTCACGATAGTCACCATGTATCTGCTGCTCTTAGCCTTCTAGATACTATTTCTTCTTGATTTGGAAGGTGCTGTGAAAGGAGCCTTGGTGAATTTCTGCAGTGCATTTTATAAATGATACACACTGCTGCTACTGTAAATTAGTGGTGGATTGGGTGAACATTTGTGGATGTGGTACGAATTAATCAGGCTGCTTTGATGCTCTCAGGCTTTTTGTAAGTTGGAACTGCACCCATCCAACCAAGTGAAGAGTATTCAATCACACTCCTGACTTATGCTTTATAGATGATGTATGGACTTTGGGGAGTCCAGTGGTGAATTACTTGTTGTAGAATTCAGAGTCTCTGACCTTCTCTTGTAGTGAGAGTATTTGTATGATTAGTTCAGTTCACTTCTTGGTATTTTTTAATATCAAAATATAACTTATTTATTCACTTTTTAGGTAATAACAATCCCCAGGTTGGTGATAGTGGGGGCGGGAATTCATCAATGGTAATGCCATTGAATGTCAAGGGGGTGATAGATCATGGAGGTGGTTATTACCTGGCACTTGTATGGCATGCATGTTATTTGTCACTTGTCAGTCTAAGCCTTCATACTGTCCAGATCTTGCAGCCTTTGAATGTAAGGGCTTATTAATTTGCTGAACATTGTGCAACAGTCAGTGAACATCAGCCCCTTCTGGTGACTGAATGGAGGGACGGTCACTTATGAAGCAACTCAAGATGGTTGGACCTAGAACATTACCCTGCAATGATGTCCTGAAATTGAAATGACTGACCTCCAACAAGGCACAACCATCATTTATGCTAGGTATCACTCCAACCAATCGATTTACCATTGACTCTTGCTTTGCTGTTGCTCCTTAACACCAGGCTCAGTCTAATGCAGCCTAAATGTCAAAGACAGTGACACTCACTTCATCTGATAGTAGGAACTGCAGATGCTGGAGAATCTGAGATAACAAGGTGTAGAGCTGGATGAACACAGCAGGCCAAGCAGCATCAGAGGAGCAGGAAGGCTGACATTTCGGGTCTAGACCCTTCTTCAGAAATGGGGGAGGGGAAGGGGGTTCTGAAATAAATAGGGAGAGAGGGGGAGGCGGATAGAAGATGAATAGAGGAGAAGATAGGTGGAGAGGAAACAGACAGGTCAAAGAGGCGGGGATGGAGCCAGTAAAGGTGAGTGTAGGTGGGGAGTTAGGGTGGGCATAGGACAGGTCAAGGGGGCGGGATGAGGTTAGTAGGTAGGAAATGGGGGTGCGGCTTGAGGTGGGAGGAGGGGAT